AATTGGAATTGAAATGCTGAAAAAAAAAGAAAAACAAGAAAAGCGAAGAAAAAAAGAAACAAATCGCTTTGTTATCCATTTCAATTTCGAAACACTCAAAAAAAAAATTTCATTTTTCAATCTATGCATCAGCTACACTGTGCTTGCATTAAATTTGCTTATAACTGACAATCTTCCGACTTTGTTGTAAGTCTGAAAAAAAAACTAAAAAAAAATTTTTGCACAACCAACTTTCAGGGTTTTGCTTCACAAAGTTTCTAAAATACAGAATTAATATCAGACCCAACATCCAATTCCATCTTCTTTGAGAAGAAATTAGGACAGCACTGCTTAACCGACTTTGCAATATTCATCATTATTTAGTAACTTTGGTTGTATTCATCTATTTTCAAAGGGGAAAAAGGCTAGCTTCTATGAGGCTGAACAATTTGAGAACATCGCGCTTTCTTTTTTTCTTTTGATCTACATTAGAAATTTCAAGCAATTGTTGGTATACGCAAAATGCGGTTGTAACACAGCAGGAAAGGAAATTTCTTTCACTTTCAGTACTTTTCAGATCACAACCCTTGGTATGTTCACATAGTGTTTGGCGAAATGTGAAGTAGAATTGTTTTCAGAGAACATTTCTGCTGAAAATTCTGAAATTGAAAGAGATAAGGTTTCTTTACACGGTTGAAACTCTTCATAATTTTTTTCAAAGAAAAATGAATAGTTATTACCATAGTTTCCAATTGCTAGAATTTTTTTTCTCGTCATCATAAAAATTTATTCAGGAAGAAACTGATATTCAAAATAAACCTTATACTGGAACAGACCAAATTTTTCGCTTAAGAAAAACACCACTCCACATAAAAATCAAATCTTCAAGATTCTTTCCTCAAACTCCGACTTGATATTGATTATTTAATGTCTCCACCAATCTGAACTTATTCAAAAATATTGTTATAAAGAAAACGTTTTTGCACGGGTTACTTCACTTTCACAAGCGCTTTCGAAAAGAAAAACCAAGCATTTTCTTAGTTTCTAAATTGAACCTCACAAAAATATCAAATTAGTACAACAGATTTGAGAACAATCTTTCTTATTTTCAATTTTTTTTCATCAACACATGAATGATCTCGATCGAAAAAACAACTCTGAATTACAAATTCATAAAAACTCACATTCATTTTTGGCAGTGAAAATCCTAACTTGAAATCTTTTTTCTCACAAGAGCTACGAATTTTTCAATCATCCACTTTTCCGAAATTTGTCATCCATTAGAGCAACCTCTAATTCGTTTGCAGGAACATTCATGAAGAAAGAACACTCTAAAAACATTCTCGAACTGAGAAGAAAGACATTTTCAAAAAAAAAAGGAATTTGGTTTATTTTTTTTGAACATCGAGAGAAAGGAAAAAAAACATTTTTTTTGGAGGAGGATGTGAAATGTGCAGCTTTTGCCGGTCTCAAGGTTATAACTTTCAGCAAAAAGGCAAACTTTTCAATTCGCTATTTTAGAAGCTAGAAGAGCAGATCCCAGAATTATATGACGCAATCAATTTTTAATAAGCTTATTATTTTTTGCAAGAATTTCGAAACCAATTTTATCGCAAGCACTTTTAGGTGCCTTACAATATGAGGTACCTGAAAAATTCAAAACTATTACTTCTACCGAACACAAAAAAGCAATTTCCACTTCTGTTGCTCAATTCAGATGTGTCTGTTTACACCACAACCGTCACTACATACAAAGTGATAAAATGGCACACTTTTTTTGCAGATCGGACTACTTTTGAGATGTGTGAGCAAGGCTAGCATAAAGTCTGATTACTATTTACTTCTTTCGCACTCCTGAATTCAACGACAGTAACGAAGAGCTCGGCCAAGCTCAGTTTCTGCATGTTAAGAAAATTCAAAGGTAGTGATGGCAGTTTAGTCAAAAAGATTATGCTTCTGGATGAACGTTTTTTTTGAAAGATTTCGAGTTGTTTCCATGACGTAATTTTTTCTATTGATTGTGCACAAATCTGATGAAAAAAAAACTTTCTTTTACAAAATTCGTTCATCGTCCTGTTTGCACTGACTTTTTGAGTTTGACAACCCGAAAGTGCAATAATTTTTTCTAAGTAATTCACATCGGCTCGTTGCCTCAGCATTTCTGGATAAGACCTGTAATCACACACTCAAACAATGAAGAAGCTCGCAAAATGGTTGTAAAACATGCATCGATTGTAACAGTTCATTGAAAACCGCGCTCATGACTTTGATTCTAATTAATGGACACACTATTGGTAAGAACATTGGAATATAGCAGTTCCTCCAGTTTTGTGCGATTGCACAAACCAAGTCTGCATTACGTTGTTAAACGTAGCAATCAGAACTACAATTAAAAATATTTTCAGAGAATATTACTTGTAGCTGAATGGAGATTGTTTTCAGAGAACAATTCTCTTTTAACCGAAACGCTTCGCAGAAGAAATAACTTGCTGTTTGCCAAAAGAAAAAAATCCTCAGTGCTTCTGAACATGTTCAGATATCCAGATTGATATTCTGATCAGAAGAAATGACCGCATTTTTTTTTTGAAAGGTGATCAGCCGAAGCTGACAATAAGCAATGGAGGCATAGTTTTTTTTTGTCGCACTGAAATTCATTCTTGGGAATGAAAAGAAACTGTTTAGAACATTTCACGTCACCCAGTTTTTATTTTTCCCTAGAAAAGGATGGTAATGATTCCTTTACAGATTTCAGCAGATTCAGGAACAATATTCCATAGAGTTTTCTATACTGGATCTGGACTTGAAGAAACATAGATAACTTTCATAAATTACAAATTAGTCGTGAATCACCACACATGATGTTAGGATCATTTCCGCTGAATTTTACTTATGACTCAAAAGTTACATATCGTAGTTTCTGCAGTGGAAACGTTCTATTCTTATACTTTACTATACCAAAATGTACTGTCAATTCATTTTGTATAATTTGGTTTGTATTTTCATGTTGTCTATGTCGAAAATGGGCTAATGCTTCCAAAGCACTATTTCAAAATTATCAAAAACAATTAAAAAAAAGGAAACATCAGAACATGAACGACATCATGTTTGTTTTATTCACGAATGTAGTCTTGAATTTGGTCGCAAGACTGCAAGACAATTTTATGCAACTCAGTTTGGAAAAAATCCGACTATCAGAGTTTTAATTTTTTTCTGCTGTCGGGATATTTCTCAACGTGAGTTTGTTTACACCTATTTTGCCGCACCGCTGCGATTATCTATAAGCACAAATTTCTTTGAAACGGCAGTTCAAAGAATGAAAAAAATATTTTGTTCTAGGCAGCGAAAAAAAATTTCCCTTTTCTCTAACACTCAAAATTTGCCACTATGTTGAATTAAACACAGTTTGTTGTGCTCAATTCTGCATCTAAATCTTCCTCTCCGTTTTCTAATCGATCGCATTATTTATATGCTGTATAACTATATGTCACTCGGTTCATATTATACAATGCCTTATTTTATTATACTTGCTAAAATATCACATATTGCTTAACTACTTCATGTAAAATATAAATTCAGAATCACTAATGTCATTCAATATCGCCCAATATTTTTGGTTATCTATGTAATTTCTGCTCACCACGCTAATTTTTTTATTAACATGTTCTACAACAAGTGCCCTTCCAACCCATAACTTCCTCGTATCAACATTTAAATACTGGTCACATTATACTCCTAAAATCTCCACGCCACTATTCCCCTTTGTCAATTTCCGAGATATAATACGCTGTTCACTTCCTACAACTACATGTTACTGCCTCTTCCAAGCAGTCCCCTACGTCACATCGTTCATTCCGTATATCTCTCCGCTTGAGGACAAGCTCACTCTGTACCCCTAGGATGAGGTGAAGGTCGCTGTTTGGTTATCCAATCCGCCTAAGCCAACTCCTCCACTCAATCAGTCTGGAGATTATGGTACCCAAATCGAAGTTCTCTATGGTCTCGCCCTAACACGTGTACTCCTTACACACGTAACTCGGAAGACGTTCAACAACAGCCGAACAAGCTCGAGGACGAGCTTTCTGAAGGAATGGAGATGTCGGGACGCAGCTAAGCTCCGCCTGCTGCTCTCCCGTGAGCTGGCCGAGAAGGTCAGATAGGAGCCAGTGACCCCCTACGACCGCGTCCCGTAAGGCTGCCTAGTCAGTCTTCCCCCTTCCCCTTTCTTGTAATATATGTAGATAATAAATATATATAATACCAACCTGTACCGCTACACATCAAGCTAGGGCCCGTACACCCCTAGACTTGACAAACCTCAACAATTCTATAATCCTAATAGCTTACGGGTATTCCCCATAGGCTATATTCCCCAATCGCTTATATTTAAGTGCCGAATCACTCACCAATGAGTGGCACCTATCTTCCAGGGGCCGCGCCAAGCCGCGGCATCCTCTTTCTTGCATATAATTCATGGACATTCCGATTGTGCACGGGTCAGCTCCCCCTTACTTCCTATATAAGGAGCCCCCGATTGTATTATACGTTGCTCCCCCGGTCCAAAACCGGGTTCGTCTGTGGATAAATTATTATCGACACCACTATCGTCTACGACACTTGGTTCCCACCAAAACTACATACCACGTCTGTACTTAAAATTTCGCAATGCTTTTTCTGGAAATTATATATCTCAGCTCTTCGTAGCAGGAATCCCATTAAGCACTGCACATGCTTCTGAAAAATTCTGTCTTTTGCCTCTGAATTTGGAAAAAACGGTGCAAAATTGGGGTGTTTTAGATGTGCATTTATGTTTTTCAAGGCACGGTACCAAATGAACAGAGCCTTTGAGAACCAGAGCATACACTTCGAAAAAACTATAGAAAAGATTTATCACAAGAAATGGTTTTTCTTTATCTAGCGATCCAAAGTGTAACTATCAAAATAGAAAGAACCTCTGGATAAACCATTATGTGTTCGCTACTACTCTGTGTAAAGAAAATGGCGACTGAAAAATTCTGCTTGAGGCCATCGATCAACGTCTCGCAGATGTTGTTGCAGCAGTCTCCTCTCTGATAGGTGGTATATCCATAGCTTTCTCATACGGACCAAAAATGGCACCAGTAGGAGTTCTTACCGCTGTGGTAAGTGAAAGCTTTTTTGCCTCATCTGCACACATTCTTTGCTATGTGTTCCAGGTTCTAATTACATTGCAAACCCTTGTTGCTCAGTATCTGAAAATACGTGGTCAAAAAGACGCCGTGAAAGCAGAAGAACCATCAAGAGTGAGTTTATGGTCATTCACATCCAGAATTCTCGCATGTACTGGTGAAGTTTAGCTGGCTGCCGAAGCGATACAGCAACATAAAACTGTACAATATCTAACCAAGGAGGAATTCTTTGTAGACAAGTTCATTACACAAATGAATGGACCACATCGAAGGACAATTATTAGAGGCAAGATTTTCGTGTTACTCCAAAAAAGAAAAGTTCACAAGTTAGCGGCACATTAGTCCTCAGACTAGGTCTAGATCCAACGCCGTTCCAGCGCCGTGTCAGCGCCGTTCTAGCGCTGTGCTGAAACGATCAATACGCCTAGCAACCATGTCGGTTCTGGCACTGCGCTAGCACGGCATCGGTACATTAGCAACTCTCTACAGTGCCCATGCCCTTCGGGATTTTTGAGGTCACCCATTTCTATGAATTTGTCTAATGCTTTTGCTCTCCAAATATGGGAAGTTCTCTGTGCCAAGTCAAGAATTATTCAATGTTACACTTCAAATTGAGGCAGCATTTAGATCACCCGTGTGCCAGCGTCGTGCTATCGCCGCTCCACCGTACCCCTAACTGAATCGGAAAAGCACGTTGCTCGGTGCTGGTACGGCGCTGGCGCAAGCAACTTTGGGCGTAGCCTGAAACAACAAAAAATTTCTGTATGATTTGCACAAGCAAGATTAAGGCAATTAGAAAAAAGGCATTTTTAGGAGTCATACAATCGCTCACCTACTCTTTATCCGTGAGCTTCGTATGTGTGAATTTTTCAATTGCTTATCTTTACGGCATCTGGTTAGTCAAGCAAAAGATTTGCTCACCTTACACAGTTTTCCAGTAAGTCTACTCTGTACTTATCTCACTATGACCAAAACATTTAAATTTTCAGAGTGATTGAGTCGTTAAATACAGCATCAATGTCGATTATAGCGTTTGCCACGTACTTCCCCGAGTATGTGCGAGCACGGCTTTCAGCTTCACTCCTCTTCCAAATGTTAAACGAGAAACCAAAGATTGACAGCATGTCCACTTTAGGGAAGACTACTGTACGTAATTATTGAACCAAATTGCTATTTAAAAGTTTGATGTAACTCTCATTCAGGCACTACAAGGCACAATTCAATTGCATGATCTTTTCTTCTCATATCCGAACAGCAAAAAGAACATGGTACTAAAGGGTGTCAATATAAAGGTATGAATTCAAAAGGTTATTATATGGTACAATTCTAACACGATTTTCTCAGGTTCCAGCAGGAAAGACTGTTGCCTTCGTTGGACCAAGCGGTTGCGGAAAAAGTACCTCAATACAACTCATTGAAAGATTTTACGATCCCTCAGTTGGCAAACTGGTACTTCCTTATGATTTATTAGCAATACGAAAGGGAGCTTCGAGATACAAGAAGATCCTGGCAATAGATTGATAACATAGTCATGACTATGAAAAGACTTGACCATAGAAACTTGGCTTCTAAAAATTTCGTGAAAACTTCTCCAAGAATCTTCTCATCTCAACATCTCCCAGCAATTCAGAGAAAATTTCAATTCAACGCTAGCAAAAATTAGATTCGAAAACCCACCGATTATGCCTACTTCAAACTAGATTTGAAATTGGATTTTTCTTCACCCCAAAGCAATTTTCTCTATTTCTAGCTGTTCGACGGGGAAGATGCGCGTGAGTTAAATTTGCGACACCTTCGCTCTCATATATCACTAGTAGGACAGGAACCTACTCTTTTCAACTATTCCATCAGGTTAGCAGTCATTCTTCATGTTATGTACAAATAACCGATCATTTAGAGATAATATTGCTTACGGAATCGAAAGTCCTACAGACGAAAAAGTAGAAGGAGCGGCAAGATTAGCTAACGCACACGACTTTATTACCAAACTTCCAGAGGTTGGTAACTAGTGCGAGTATATAATCTGCTAATTCATGTATTCGATCAGGGTTACGATACCGTTGTTGGTGAGAAGGGTGGAATGTTATCTGGTGGACAAAAACAACGTATAGCCATTGCACGTGCAGTCATACGAAACCCCAGAATACTCCTGCTAGATGAGGCGACTAGTGCTTTGGACACTGAAAGTGAAAAGGTGCGAATTCCACCATAGATTCCTTAATTTATTAGGTTGAAACAAATCAGTGTTTGCCCTCAAGAGCATAATCGGTATGACTTTTTCATGGACCCTTGGTAAAAATTCTGGAACCGTAGCCGGTTTCCTGTCCTTTTGAGACAGCGAACGGTTGACCGTAACCTTAGTCCTATTTAAATTTGTGTTACTCTGGACAAAGACTATAAAAACTCGAATTTCTTTCTTATATTACTGGCGCAGATTATTAAGAAAAACTGAGAATATAATTACGTGGATATTTTGATATTCATAGATCGTACAAGAAGCCTTGGAACGAGCAAGAGAAGGAAGGACATGCATAGTCGTAGCTCATCGTCTCTCGTCCATACAAAACGCCGATTTGATAGTGGTTCTGCAGAACGGGAAAGTTGAGGTAACAGTTCTTCATGGTTTTTGAAATTTCTAGCAATTGGTGGATTTTCTCGCAGAAAGGTGTACTGCGGAACAACCTTCCCAAGTCGAAGTTTTTCAAAAATTAAACTCTCATCAAGCTAAACTGCACTAACCTCGAGACATTTGTAACTTAATATGTGAGATTACACACTAAGCCCTATTAGCGACGGCACCCATACTACAACTTCCCAGTAAAACATTTTCTAGCCTAACACAATGTAGAATTGTGTTCTACTAACTAACATATAACCAATTAAAACAAAAGAAACAAGGAAACAAGGAGAAATCACTGGAAATGAGCAGGTTCTAGTTTCGCATTTCGTCAGTTAACGTGTATAGTGTGCAGTACGCATATTAAGTTACAAAAATGACTCGACGATATCTCTTCAAATTTCAGGAGCAAGGTACTCATCAGGAACTTCTTGCTATGGAAGGTCTCTACGCCGGACTAGTTAGCAAACAAGATCTCAACTAAATGTGACCAGTTTTGTAAATATTAAGGACAATTTCCAGTATTAGATAAAGGTATTCAGACTCCGAGTTTACAATGGAAGTGGACCAGCTTAAAAAATTGTAAAACTTTGGGACTAGTTCTCTAATCCTGTGCTCGATATCACTTGCCACTTTTTACTTCTATTTTTTGATACTGCAACAATTTCAGATAAAGATTTAAGTAGTAAGCCATGCATATACGGTACATAAAAATTCATCACAGAATAACAGCGAGTAGCTCGAAAATAGCCGCAAATTTACACGCATCTGTTAGGGAATTTTTCCAGTTAAACTCATCAGTCGAAATGAGGGAGGCAAAGAGAACTAACGCATTTCTGACGGAATCTTGGGTTGTGTAGTATACCCTAAAACAATGACAAGTCAAGATATTCACACTGTTCTTTGCAAATAAATTAACCAAACCTCGTTTTCTGCCTCCTCTGTGCCTGAAGGCAGAAAAATGCGGAGCTATTTGAAGTTTAGCTTGATAGAATCACCTTCTGAAAAAGGTCAAAATGTAGTGTAAACGAACCCTAATTCTGAGGCCAAATTATTACCTTAGCCACAATCTTACATTCTTCATTATTGTGCACAAGTTGCCTTCTCCCGACATTTCTTGTCCTGCGTGGAGTAATTTCCTCTTTCGGCTTTACATCTGTGAGTATTCTTCCTTTTGCAACGTACCCTGTTACTGTCTTTGGTTCTTGCTCTCCTCAATCCAGCAATTGGAAAGCAGCAACCAAATGTCACCTACTTCACTTCTGTCATTAGCACTAATTTTGCTGAAAAAGATCAGAGCTCTTACCATATCATTATTCAACAATTTCCGATCTCTAGCGACTGATAGTTGATTTTGCTTTAGCTATTTCCTTTGGCAAGGTCTCCATTTTTTGCTCTTTGGGCTCTTCTTTTCAACAATTTGGCATTCGCAGCTTTCGCAAGCCGTTCCCTTTTCTTTTGTTCTGTTTCTCTCGATCTCCTCAGTCTGGCGCTTTCGGCAGCTTTCGCAAGCCGTTCTCTTTTCTGTTGTTCTGTTTCTCCCAATCTTCTCATCCTGGCCCTTTCAACCTCTTTTTCAAGGCGATCTTTTCTCTGTTGTGCAGTTTCTGCCCACCTTCTTAACTTGGCCTTCCTTGCTCTTGCTGAGCGCGTTTCACCTTCATTGTCAGATGATAGTTGTTCTGCCTCTATTCGAAGAGTCTTAGTTTGTCCTTGCTCTTCACTAGCATCAGAGGTTCGTTGCTTTTGAGGAATTGTTGGTGTTCCTATCTGGCCTGCAGTCTTCACAATTTCTTTGATTATGATAATATCCGGACTTTGCGAGTTCGTCGAGTTACAGCCTTCACTCGCTTGAACATTTGCTACACCAGCTTCAGCAAGCAGTGGTTGCTGCAAATCAATCTTAACACTTAACATTTTAAAAGCAGATTTGGGTTGTCGTCTATCATAAAACACTCACTGCATTTGTGTCATGCGTTGGTGATAGCTGTTGAGCAGAACCTGCGTCATGTTTCTCCCCGACTTGGGGCAGATTCTGGAAATGTTAAATCAAGATTCCGTTGGACCCAAAAAATGTGATAAAAGTTTGATCTTCGATAACTCTCTTAGGCAGGCGCTATTACTCCTCGAGGAGTATAGCATGGCGAAGGGCGATCGCCAGTCGCCAATACTGGCGACTGTGTCTTCTATGCGTATCGATCGCTAACGAGTTACCATACGTCCAATCGATACATATTTATTGTGTAGTCGCCAACACTGGCGACTGGCGATCGCCAATATCGGCGACAAAAATCGCCAGTTTTACACGTATTTGATGCATATCGATCGTCGCCATGCTATACTCCTCGAGGAGTATAGCACCTGCCTTATGTCAAAAGCTTTCGCAGTTCTTCGAGATGATGTAGAATCGGCTTCAACTCAGGTTTACAATGTAAAATGATTATCCGGTCACTCTTCATCACTATATACATACGATAGGAGATTCTGGCATAAGCGCCACTGTAAGTCAGCTGCCCTTTCAGAAATAAATCCGAAAAAAATGTAAAAGATTGTTTGTCAGAGCGTTCACGCATGCTGGTTTCAATGACAACCTTTTACGAGCTTGAAGCAAATGATACACATTTTCCAGGATATCGTGAAAATAATTATTACCTTATAAATGACATGAGCTGTAAACGAAGTATTACGGTTAAATACATTCGACTATTGATTGCGGTAAGAAGATTGAGAGGGATTTGGGCTGATAAAATCCAGAAGTGCACCAAAAATTATACAAGAAAAAGCTAAAAACATTGTTAGTAAGCGAAAAGTGGTCGCGCATCTAAACATGAGCATTATCAGCAGCACCGTAACCTTTACCCAGAAAGTTACACCGATAAACGGAAAAACTATCTTTTTGAAAATTCAGAACCTAATGACGCCAACAGTTGTTTTCTGGAATCAGGTCTGAAGCTACGACAAATAGCTTCAAACGTTCTGGAGAATTTCTGAAGTAACATCTAACTTGCAAGGACGCCAGCTGAAAGTTTCTACCGTATCTTACAGAAACAAAGAGATTGATGAACCTTTTTCTACTGCAACTCTTATTTAAAGTTAGCTCTACGATGTGCTGCTCCAAGGACGGCGAAAGCTTTTCATACAACAAATCTATATAGAAATCACAATTTCTCTAGATTTGGAACAATGTGTAGGTGGTCAAACCTCAGGTGAAGAAACTTCATCAGGAATGGAAAGTAAGGAATACAGAATAGAGTCTTGAGTGTGGGCGGAAGGCTTGCTCTAAACATAATATGCTTGAGAAATTTCTAGAAAAACTGTGAGCTAACCGCAACCTTGTTTTCCGAAAGTGTTGGATCCGAGGCTGAAGTGTGTCTCTGGTCCTCTTCATCCACATCCTTTCTAGTATGTGATACTTCTATAAAACCTGCTGTTCCAATGACTTCAGCGATCCTGGCATAGCACCTCTTTATTTGTTGGTCAATTTCTTTCACTTTCCCCTGCTTGACTTTATCTATAACTTTTGCAAGCCGCTCTTTTCTCTGCTCGGATTCATTCAATCTCTTTGGGGTAGACCCTTCTTGACGTGCTTCAGGCTCATCGACAGTTTTATTGGATGTGCTGGGTGCTATTTGCTCAGTACTCGTTTCGAAAATCTCTGTTCCGTCTTGACCATTTTCGCATTCGCCAGGGTCCCTTTGAGGATGAGTCAGCTCACTTGTATTGAGTATTTCTGCATCTATCGGAAGATGTCCTGATTTCTCCTTCTCCTTTCCTCTCCTCAACCTAGCCCTTTCTGCATTTTTCGCAAGACGTGCCCTCTTTTGCTCCTCAGTTTCCGCCATTCTCCTCAATCTGGCCTTTCTTGCGTTTCTGGCTAATCGTGGCTCTCGGCCATCAACCGCTTCGTCACTTCCGCTGGATGCCACTTGTTCAGCTCTCGATGGAAGATTTTGCGTTTGTTCCTTCTGACTTCCATTCTCTGCGACCGATACAACCATTTCCATCTTTCATGCTCCTGCTCAGGGTGAAAACTACTCGTGGGGATGAGCTCAGTTGAAGCAAAACGATGATTTTCTAAAATCGATCGAAAATGGCGGGACCTCGGTTCAAAATTCGAGCATTTTCAACTGAAGCCGAAGAAAAATGAAGGTACATAATGGTCGAGCTTATGGAGTACATGAACTATAAAATGAAACCTGAATCGAGATGTAAGTGTGAAAAGAAGCACAAATAGGATAGAAATCTGTACCCCTAGAAAAGAAATGATGACACACGTTCTAATGGCAAAACCAGGGCCCGGACTTACAAGGGTATGGTCAAAAATGAAGTGGCCAGTCCAAACAAGTTGCATACCATTACATGCAGCATAAAACGCTGACTTCGAATCTGTATTCCATACTGCTTAGCACCTCATGGGTGAAGTTATGAACCATGAAAGGCCGTATGTTTGCTAAAAAAATCATGCATAGCGCAAATGTGGCCGTATAGAGCCAGGGCTCGGTTAAATGCTGGGTCAAAACATGCAGCAGCTAAGTTACGTTATATTCTTAAAACCCAAGGCTGAGCTGAAAGTGCAACAATGGGCTCAATTTCGCAATTTTTATGTACGTTTTATTTCGAATAATATTGTTCACAACTTCGTCCACAAAGGTACTAAGCTGATATGGAATACAGATTCCAAAATCAGCGTCGTATGCTGCATCGAATGGTGGGGCAGCTTCTTTGGACTGGCCACTTCGACCATTCCCTTGTTAGTACCTTTTGAAGCCTTCGAAAAAAAATACAGAGGGTGTGTTCGCAATTTCAGAACTATTGCAGATCGCAGCTACAGCAAACCAGAGCGAAAGTCGGAAGCACTCCCCTTCCCCCTCCCTTCCTCCATCACTTTTATGTTGCTGGTATCTTAGTCACCAACCTCAGTTTTGGAACCTACAGCCCTTTAGGGCCGGGCATACTTCACGCGATTTCAGTCGCGACGCGATTTGGCAATTCGCCAGAAGTCTTCAGATCCAACACTAGCAAACTGCACATGCATATTTTGCATGAATTAATTGAATTCCCTATCTTCTGTAAAATTAAAATGTGATTACAATGAATTATGAACGGTTGGAATACTGCCAAATCGCGTCAAATTGCGTATGCCCGGCCCTTACCGACCGCAAGAGAAATGGAACAATGTAGGAATCGGAGAGCAAGTTAGAGAGTATGAAGTCATAATGAGCAAAGTGAGGTACCAGTATGACATTGAGCAACATCACAACAGCAGAAGTCACTCTGCTACCGAAATAAGAAGACTGACGACATCATTGGCTATTACGGAATTGACTTCGCTTATGTTGTGATTAGACTTCTTCTTCGAAGAGCTATCACACTGTGACAAAATCAAGCAGATCTAGGACAACAGCGAGAATCGATTTGGAAGCATGCAGAACAGATTTCTTGTCCAAGAATAAAAAAAATTCTGAATCTAACATTGTGATTAGACTTCTTAATCCGGCTTTCAGAAATCGTACCAGTATGTTCATTTGAGGAAAGTGATGGGAAAAACCTTTTCAATGAAACCTAAGGTTTTGCCTACAAAACTGTGGATCTTTCAAGTTCGTCTTTGCGTTATTTCCTTATGAGATGAGCTTTTCACATTCCAGCAGCCGGAAGTATAGCAAGCAGTTGATAGGGTGAAGCTATTGATTGAAATTTAAAATCTTCTCTGCACTTCAAAGGTTAGAGTAATTAGAGTATCATACCGTAAAGAAAGATACTGGTGCAGACTGTAATTGGAACTCACACCAAAGTTTTTGAGCAAGATTATCATTGATGTATGACAGAGGAAGGAAGGTACGCGCTTGACATGCGGACGCCAGATAGATGAAAAAAATTTTGTAAAGATAACGACAGCAATGGTTTTGCACTGCTTCATGCACGTAATGATGATGATTTGAGAAGACAATTCGAGGCGATGACGTCGAAGAAGGAGGGGGGTGAGTAATGGAGAATGGCAAAGCAAGCGATGGCAGAAGACAAACAAGATGCTTGACGTGTCGAAGTAAGGGTATGAGCGCTGAAGCATAACAAAAGGACAGCAAGTCAAGGACAAAGTTATTGTCGGATAAAGACTCAGCGCTAAAAGTGCTCAAACAGAAGCAAGTGCTCAATATGCCTCAGACCATGACGACAATTGATATAAAGAATAATTTACATTACCTTTGAAGCAAAGCAATGAGACAAGATGGCAGACTACGGGGGGTAAAGTGGAAAATGTAACATTCTAGAACGGGGACGGCGGACGGACGGCTATACCTCCCTTGAGTGCTTGGAGCTAATTTGTAAAAAGTAGATTACAGCTTAGTTGTATTCTAGGAGGAAGAACACGGGCACTTATCAGGTAATGCGAATATGTTTCAGAATCACGCATTTTAAAAACAAACCCGCTATTTTTGACAAGCAGTAGACCGAAATGTGTGTGCGTTGACGCAACATCACGTACCTCACATTTCAAAAAATTGCTCTCCCTTTTAGCTTGTGTCACTTGATTCTTCTTCATTAATTATTTCTCTCAAACTTCTGATATAATTTCAGATAGAAGATAATGTTGGTTGAAACAGTGGTACCTCAGATTGAACGGTCTGAAACATGGGTGGGCTTTGGAGATGGTGTTCCATGCATCTTAGGAATTGATGAAGCTGGGCGAGGTTTGTTCCATTTTTCGCTCGTATCAGAGTTGATTCTTTGTGAGCAGTTTTCATTTTGCGTTTCTACACAGGTAATAACCACTCTGCATAAAAGGAACAGGTGGAATAGAATCTTATTGCGCGTGTGCTTTGAACTTCAACATCCGCGGGCGGATGGCAAAATGTTTTGGAATTTCACTCTCTTGAAAGGTTTCCCATCAGTTATATGGTTCCTAAGATGACGGAGAAGTTCTGGTAAAAATTAAAAGTTGATGGAAGTGGATACTTCTGAAGAAGAGTGCGTTCAATGAAGGGTTTTTGCAGAGTCGCGTTAGGTTTTACACAGCTATACCGTAATAAACCCACATAACCTCGGTGTGTACCTTACTTTTAGAAAACTTGCAGCTTTTGCACGATTGAAGATTCGCCCTCTCCCTGCTTTGAAACGTGGCTTTGACATCTGATATTGTCGGGAACTTGTTGGGCTTCAAGTTGTAAGCGTTACTTCCTCACTCACTCGCTCTCAAGACCCCACTCCCATAAGCTGCCAAGCCTCTTTGCTAAGCCGCTTTGATAGAACATACGCATAGATAGCAGGTTATGTGGACCGTGACTCATTTTTGGGGTTCTTTTTCAGATATTTTGGCACTCGAAAAGAGGTATAGTAGGTCAGCCATGTGTGGGTGATGCTTTTCAGCTCTAAGGGACCCGTCATATTTAGCCGAAAAAAGCCCAAAAGCGCCCGAAAAAGCCCGAAAGCGATCAAAAAACCCAAAAGCGCCGGAAAGAGCCGGAACGCCCCTGAAACTTTTGGTGGAATTCTTACATTATTTTGATGTGCATACGACAGAAAAATGATACAAAATGACTCGCTTGCGAATTCAGCAGACATGCCTTGGCGGCAGAACTTGCGCTCAAAAGGGGGCGTTCCGGCTCTTTCTGGCGCCTTTAGGCTTTTTCGGGCGCTTTTGGGCTTTTTTGAGCTTTTTTTCGGCAATGTATGACGGATCCCTAATTGTGAAAGTCTCTATATTTTTAGCGCTAAAAAAGCTAATCAAACTGAATCTGTCTACAACGTTTCAGGTCCTGTACTTGGACCTATGGTGTATGGATGTGCTATATCACCATTAACCTGTGAGAATGAGCTCAAAGAGCTAGGAGTTGCTGACTCTAAGGCGCTCACCGAAGCAAGGCGTGAAGAAATTTTCGACGCGATGAATAATAATGAGGCTACAAAACAGGTTTTTACTTTTTATTGATTTCTGCAAGCTCTCTCCCTCTGAAGATGCCGAGATCAATGTCGATTTTTAAAGGTTGTTGCTTATGCGGTGACATGTCTGTCTGCACAATATATTAGTACGTCTATGTTGAAGCGGAGTAAGACTTCTCTCAACGAGATATCGCATAATGCTGCCATCAATCTTATTCGGGATGCGATGCAGTCGAGCGTCAATGTTGTGGAGGTTTGTTTTGTCCCGAAATTAACAGACGTGATTAGGTCGTCATCGTTTTACAAGTACAAACTGTGTTAATATGTGATTTTTTTGTTCGTTGTTTGCGGACTTCTTGATAATGCGCTTATTGCCCTTGCTAAAATTTCAGTTACGTGTCAGTCGTCTTCCTTTATAGATCAAGGTGGATACTGTTGGACCTAAAGCAACGTATCAGTCCAAGCTCGAAAAGTTGTTTCCTGGAATCTCTATTACAGTAAGTCTTTTCAACTTCTTTCTTCGTTTTTTTATTTGTTATTAGTTTGTACGCAAATTGTGATATGTACACCTGCACTTTTCTATCCACATGCAGAATGTTTGATTATGTTACGTAGAGTACATTCTGATACAAATCAATTGGTCGATGGCATTTGACATCAAAAAAGTCCCGCACTCATGGGATTCTTGCAGGTTACCGAGAAAGCTGACGCTTTATTCCCTATTGTGAGTGCTGCTTCTATCGCTGCAAAAGTAACTCGCGATAGACGACTAAGATCATGGTCTTTCTCGGAACCGGGAGTCAAAATCCCAGCAGATGGATATGGAAGCGGATATCCTGGAGGTAAATTCTTGGCATAACTCTTTCCCTTCTTTTATGATGCTTATGTCTCCTAGATCCTAATACTAAAAAGTTTTTGATTGATGGGTTGGATCCTGTATTTGGTTATCCATCTTTGGTGAGATTTTCATGGAAAACTGCGGAAGTCCTCATCGACAAGCACTGCGTCAAAGCCGAATGGTAAGTCTGCTTTGTTAAGTGTAGGTCGCATTTGCACTAGTACAAGTGCTAATGAATATTTAGGGATGATCAGAGTGCATCCGCACCCTCGGTGAAAGGATGGCTCACCGCTAAGGTTGACTTGCCTAAAAGACACCAATATTATGCTGATAGAACTATACAGAACGTGGTATCTCTTTGACGGGTTGCTAACCTGCATCATTTCAATGTCGTAATTTTGCACTCTGTAATTTTTGCGGGTTTTGTACTTTACATACATTCTTGTCTCAGGAGCTCAGTACACTGGCATATAAATTTGTAGGAGTTTGTAATGAAGATCTTTCACTCATTTTTTTTTGGTTTGTTGCTTTGTCATATGGATCGCGTTCACCCCTTTCATTTCTCGTGCCAGTGATTTTTTTCATAATTGTCCTTACTTGCTTTTTAAGCATTCATTTAGATGAGTTTGAGATCATGGTTAAGCTTCTCTGGCTTTCTAACCTTGCTTACTGCATACTACATTGGTCACATGGTGAAAACATTCTACAAGATCTACTCTGTTCCTGCTTGTGCCGGGAGCTACATGTGTCTCAAGGTACCGTTCTTTTGGGTCAACTTCCTACTTTCTTGCGGTTTTTCATGATTTGATTTTAGCCCGTCCTCCCAATGGGTAGCGATGGAAAGATCACTCCAGTCCAATTTAGAGCGTATGCCTCTGCATATTCCAGCACTCTTGGGGAACTTGTAAAGAAAATGGACAACTTTCACCTCACAGAGCCACATGAGATAGAGGTGAATGAATTGAGGCTTGACGTCAGTACTTACGTCGTTATTCAGCGTTTTTCAGATTCCTGTCACTCTTCCACAGGCTACACGGCGGAATGGCAGTTTGTATATGTCCCTCTTCCTGTTGCCGCATGGATACGAGAACAATGATCCTCAAAAGGTAATTTTAGTTGGTGTCTTTTTATACGCCTTCGCAAACAATCGTTTATGAGAATCTTTTAGGCCGACTGGAAAGTACACCAAAGGAAGCTCATATCGGCTTATCGTGAGCCTGAACAAACATATAATCTGATAAAAGGAGAAGTCAAGAAGGTTTGTCTTCATCATTTTTATATTTCTCTTGCTTAAAAACCAAGGTCAAAATGTTTATGACAGGTGCTACCTCCAGTCACTCATATACGAAGTGTTGTCCATGTTATGAGCCTCGAGAACGCTCCAGATCTCTACATGAGGGAGTTACCAGAAGTGTCGTGAGTTTTCTTTCTTTTCTAAGTTACATACAATTCTAATTTATATTTGGTTAACAGTTCATAGTTTAGGTCCTTAGTGCAATGGAAAGGCGGGAAATATTATCCAATATTGTACTTGGCCGATCTGCTTAGTATGGAAAAGCATTTTGTTGAGGTGAGGAATTTTCTCTTCCTCATTTGTTTTTTCGCATCTGCATTTTTCCCTCACAAGTTTGGAACAGTTTCGTGACATATACAGCAGGAAGGGGGGGGGGGGGGGGAGAGGATGGCATATTTTCATTGAACCACAGCTTTCATTCCTGTTGAACATGGTTGCAGATACACAGCTCTGAATTCAGTGCATGTATGGTCTGTCCCGCAGAGGGGTCCCCATAGATACCACTATTCGCGCGCTCAATTTGCTGTCTGTTGCTCTTTCTGACACGTTATGCAGCAAATATAAGGCGCTTACTTGAAGTTAAAACATGCTGAAATGATCGAAAGGCAGCGAATTGGTTGTGCACTCGATTTTACCTATGAGAACCTCTCTGGGGCACAGACGAATATGATTTGATTTGGGCGCGATCATTGAGGATCACTAATTACCTGCCTTCTAGTTGAAACCTGAAAATAAGACTGTCAACGTCACCGTGTCATATCAACCTGCTCCATTGGGCAAAATCAGATTTCATCGCATGATCACCTCTTCGTTGTCACAGCTAACTGAATTGGGTTTCACTACAAAGGATCTCGAAGATGTAAGGTTTTTTCTTGCTGAATTTTCTCTTACCTCTTATAGCTCCTCCTTTTTTCAGGTAAAAGGAATTTTCGCTGATACTAATCTCTATCTTCTTGGAGTTACTGTATTTGTTTCGGCAGTGCATCTCCTTTTTGATATATTGTCTTTCAAGAATGACATATCATTTTGGCGCGGTCGAAAATCTATGGTCGGACTTTCCACCAAGTAAGGTTTGAAGTTTCGATTTCACAAAGTTCGTAATGTCTCATGCTTCAAGGGCGTTACTTTGGCGGTGCTTTTCGTACACTGTCATCTTCTTCTATCTGAAAGATCAAGAAACCAGTCTTCTTGTAATCGTTCCTGCTGGAATCTCCGTTTTGATTGAGTTTTGGAAACTGAAGAAGGCCTTCAAGGTGAGGAGATTGTTTTGTTTTTGCCATCAATGCACTCAGCTCAGATGACTTTCACTCGAAGCGGAATAAAATTCGGTGCACATTCGGCTGAGGAGCAGGAGACGGACGCTTTCGATAACGAAGCGATGAAATACTTGGCGTGGTTGATGACTCCGCTTTGTATTGGAGGAGCAATCTACAGGTATGTAGATCACGCCTTCTTTGGAAAAATTCAAACACTATGTCGTCGCATTTTCATGGTTGGTTTACGCAGAATTTGATTTTGCAGCTTGATGTACGTGCCACACAAATCGTGGTATAGTTGGGTTGTTGAGTCACTCGCCAATGGAGTTTATGCCTTTGGATTCCTTTTTATGCTCCCGCAGCTCTTTGTGAACTACAAACTCAAAAGTGTTGCTCACTTGCCATGGAGGGCTTTTATGTACAAGGTAAGTTTTAGTGGTTTTTTTTTTTTTGAAAATTGAATCCTTTGCCATCCGTTTAGGCATTCAACACATTCATTGACGATCTATTCGCCTTCATTATTGTAATGCCGACCGCTCATCGTGTTGCTTGTTTCAGGTGATGATTACGTAACTTTTATGTGAGAATCCCCTTTCTCTTTGCCTTTTTTCCCAACAATTTCAAGCGTATTAGTAAAACTGGCCTGTTTTTCGCTTTTCAATACTTTCAAGGGCTAAATTGTAGTTATGCTTGTTTCCAGGGACGATATTGTATTTTTGATCTACCTCTACCAACGCTACCTCTACCCTGTCGATTATAAGCGAATCAATGAGTTCGGAGAGTCGGGTGAGAAGCAGCCCGTATCTGACGAAAACCCAAGTGAGGAGACTGTTAACGCTGCTGTGAATGATGTCCCGAGCAATCTCAAGAACAGAAAGAAAGCGAAGAAGATTGACTGAATTAGAGATGTCACCTAAGAATTAGGTCACAGTTGTTTATTTTTTGACTGAATTAGAGATGTCACCTGAGATAGGTCACAGTTATTTATTTGCTTGGGGGTTATGCCGTTTTTGTTTATTATGTTTTGGTGTACAGTTGTCTAAAAGCTATGGTATCTCAAAAAATCTTGTTTTTTATTGTGATATAGTGATACTGGTTTTGAGTTTGGTCTTCCATATTGCTCGGGCGAGCAGCTGATAAAGTTTTTGTTTTCGCAGTGTCTTTGGATCATTGTGAAATTAGTATTTTGTTGAAAACAAGCACAGAATGAAGACAATAGAAATTGGTAGTGGAACGCAACTGTGACAGAAAGGAAACAAGAATTCTTCAAGGGTGAACATACAATACTTTTATATTTGAGACGATAGGAGCACGCAAGAAAGACGGTGCCTCCCTTTGATATGAACGTGAAAAACTTTTGTTTGGATGGTGACGAAGCTGCAAATGGATGAAAATACTATAGATGGCACAAGCTTTGATAGTCGTCAATCTGAAGTTTTTACAACGCTGAATATGATTTTCATATAGAATGAGCATCATATAATGACCGCTCCCTTGCACTTCTGCTAAAACAAACTTCAAAGGCTTATTAGTATTCAAGTAATATAATATCTAGTTGAGTTTTCATCGGATATGTTTCCAAATTGTTTGTCGACACTACTGACTTGACAAACATATGCGAACATTTATGTCGCATGGTAACCATGGTGACGACCCGCTCCTCTAATGGCTGTTGCAATACCGTTGAACGTTATTCAAGTCTTCGCTGAAATGGGTCCAGCTAATTAAATTCCGGATGGAGAAAATTTTCTCATGGTCGCCTTGCAGCGGATGGTTATGCCTTGCATCACAAGTACAAGGCGCATTTCAGATCAACTTCTTCACTCACAAGGTTAGTTTTGTATTTTGGCGAGACTTTGCTTTGAGAATAGCTGAATCGGATTTCAAACATCAAGGATGTTACCTGGACATCTGAAAAGTGCTGTGATTTCTCAATATTCAAGCTAATTTTTTGTCCCTTTTTGTGCATGATTAGTTCACTCTAGAGCTCAGCTATCAAACTTAGAATTTATTCTTTTTGTTTTATGTTGTTCACAGACATTTCTTGATGTGTCATACTGACTTTTTTGACCTTGATTTTCGCACTTTTATTATGCTTAGTGAAATACAATTCCAAGAGATGATGAATTTAGAGCTTTGAAGCAAAAGATTCAGAAAAAATCGTCTCTGAAGCCACCATAGTCTCTTTTGTTCCCTACAGTTGACCTGCTCCGCTCTCCCTCTGAACTGTAACGTTTTACTTGAACAAGCCTCAGAAATTAAAAGCATCCAGCGTCAATTTGGTCTGGTCCTCTAAAATCCTTGAAACAAAGATGTTAGCAAGATACCGATCAAAGAGAATTCTCTTAGCCTCCACCTTTTTTTGAAAGAAAAAATACTTTGAGATATTATGGTTATAGTTATAGTAGCACAACAGAGGTGCAATTGCTTAGGACATTCAAAAATGACTTTTTTCAAAATCAAGTACCCCGATATCTCCAACAGTTTGGGAATTTGAACATTACTTCAAAATGAATACATTGCACAGATTGTCCAGATTGAACCTTTTTGAGAATACTATCCCGGAGCCATTGAAACTGAGAAAAACGAAGAAAGCCTTCTGTGGAGCACGGAAACAGGATAGCATTGGATGTACTGATATGCTGTAGTGAACCTTGGAATGACAGAGGAATAATAAAACCTTTTACATATCTGCGTACTCTTGTAATTAGTTGTAATTAATCTTCCGTTATCTCAAAGCGCTTGTAGGCTTATTAGAAACTTCTGCTTTATTTCTTTTGCGAGGGAGGATCCGAAATTTGTTTTTGATAGATCAGAAAAGTTATTGTATTAGGTTATGCACAATTCTTGCATCAAAAAATAAAAAATTTATTTTAAAAATGCTTGAAACAACTGATCAACTTACATGATATACTCTTTGTTATGTATATCAAAAGAAGTATTTTGTAAGACATTGTAGAAAATCAATTAAACAAAATCGACATGTCAACTCGAAAAAATTGAAATTCGTAACTACTCACAGAGATATCCAATTACTACCAACTTCTCTTAGTCAAAAAGAGCCTGTCATATGAATTCTAGTGGATCTTTTAGCAATTTTAGTGACTAAAAATCGAAAAACCATTTCTGGGACATTCTCATATTCACCTTGTATCGTTGCCATACCCTCAAGGAGTTTTGGCTTGAGCGCCCCCGAAAACGCAAGATTTCTCTACTATGTATAAAACTAGGAGATTTCACCGAAGCTGGGTGACTTAACAGAATTTCGAAAATTTTGGTGCAAGAATTATGCATCAACCTAATAAGTTTTCGCGGTATTTCCTTGTTTGCAAAGATTAGATTCGCATATGCAAGGACTAAATCAATATGTTGATTCAAATCTAGGGAACACGATCAGAAGATGTTGTCGTACAAAGGAAAAATGCCGTCTGCGCAGTTGCTTGGCATCCGACTGAGGTTCTGGTTTGTGTTGCGTGGGACGATGGTCAGCTGGATGTTCTTTCACCAGAAGTCAATACCGGTGGGGTTTGCAAGAATATTTTACGTTTGCTGAACATTTTTTGATGTAACGTTGTTGTAGATTATAAAGTGGACGAGCAACCTAGCAACAAAGTGATGTTTTTGAATTGGAGTGGTGATGGAAAAACGCTATGCGCCGTTACGGAGGTAAAAGAACTCAGTTCATCCAAACAGATTCGTAGATAAAGGTTTGCTACACAAAAGAGGTCAGAATTAATAGACCATAAAATAAATTTCTACCTTTTTTGGCATTGTGCAGCTATTTTGATTCGACAATTCATGGACGAAACACATTTTTTGAACAATTCTCAAGCTTTTCTCAAAATTCCGTCTTTGAATGATTTATATGTCTAAATTTTTTAACATTTTGACAGGATGGCAAATGTGAGCTGTACTCGCTATCCGGCAAAACCCTGAAAAGAAGTGGTGAATACGGTATGGGCGATAAACCAACCGGTGCCTGTGCCCGTATTAGTCAGTAAGTCAAGTATTTTTCGTTATTGAAAGTATTAGAACAAGAGGCGAAATTATCAGTAACATTTACAAAAAAACTGATTTGCTTTTTGCGAATTTTCTACCGGAATTCCAACGTATTTTTTGTAAAGAATCAAATAGTTATATCTATGATAAACCTGCTTGAAGAATTCCTCATGAGCTAGTTTGAAAGGTGAATTTTGCTTGAGCAACTAATTTGAGTTTGCCTTTCTTGAAGAGACTTAGCATTCTACTACCCATTTTTTTCCATATATGAAACTAAATTCCAGTGTACTGCCCGAAAAATCTCTCATGGATGGCGATGAAAACTCGTTGAAGACCAAAAATAATCTATCATCATTCGAGGAACTCGGAAAGGTACTTACAGTCAGGAGCATTCACTACGCTGCTTAGAGAAAATTATGGGTTTTTTTCAGATGAATGGTCTCTCAAAACCAGTGCAAATGCCTACTGCGATAAAACATTCCTTTGTTGTGAGCACAGAAGGTGGTGTACTTCATCTAATTGAGCAGGATGGAACGGGTACGAAATTGTGCCAGGTATAACTTCTAACTTTTTGAAAATCATTTTCGGGATTGCTGAAATTCAACAGTAGATGCTTTCATTTTTTGATAGTAAGCGCATTTTACTTAAACTTCCAGAAAAATCTTGGATTTGCATGAAAAAATTTGAGGTTAAATGAGGAGGCACTTACTTACTTACTTACTTAGATGGCCCGGCTTCACGTGACGTGCGGGCCCCAGCTCAGAAGTTTCCATTTCTCCCTGTCCCTCGCTTCTGACATCCACGATCTTCTTGGCTGACGTCGGTGGCTGCGTCCACGAGTTCCAGGTGCAAAAATCGTGTCCAGCTGATTTCTCAGCTGGTCCATCCGTTCCACGAACACGTCTGCCCATCTCGTTGGTGGTCTTCCCCGGGGACGTTTTGCTTCGCGAGGAATCCACTCCGATGTTCTTAGTGTCCATCTGTCGTCTGTTCTTCTCATGACCGGCCCATCGATGCTTCGCTTTCGCAACGTAATCCGCTGGGTCACGAAGACGGGACATTCTCCTCATATCCGTACTGCGAAGTCCGACGAGATGTTGTTTGTGTCGGGTCATCTTCAGAAGACTACGCTCTAGCGCTCTGTGGGTGGTCCTTAAAGCTTTCGAAGTGGCGACGGTGTCAGCCCAAGTCTCAGCTGCGTAACAGAGCGCCGGGAGAACGGTTGAGTCGAACAGGTGGGCACGAAGCTCCGGGTCCTTCAGTTGGTCGGTGGCTTCCTTCAGAGGCCCGAAGGCGGCCCAGGCTGCTCTTCTTCTCCTGTTAAGTTCTTCCCTCAAGTCGTTCTCCATGTTCATCGAACGTCCGAGATACACGTAAGAAGACGTCTCCGTGATAGGGGTGCCTTCCAATTCCATTTCTGCATCTTCGCGAAGGGCGTTCTTCATGAACTGAGTCTTCTTCCGATTGATTCGCAATCCGATCTTCTTCCCTACTTCGTTCAGTTCCTTCAGCATCGTCTCTGCTTCAGTGATACTGCTCGAAAAGAGAACGATGTCTTCCGCAAAACGAAGGTTCGACAGGAATCTCCCATCAACTCGTATGCCTCTCTCGTCCCAGTCCAGTGACTTCATCATCCACTGCAAGGCCGCGGTGAACAGCTTCGGCGAAATTGTGTCGCCTTGTCGAACCCCCTTCCCAATTGGGATGGTCAGGGGGCGATGGAATAGCTGCATCGTCGTTGTACAGTCCTTGTAACAGTCGGCTAACGTCCTCACGTAAGCTGGGTCCACTCCTTGATCGACTAGCGCAGACAGGATGGCGTTGGTTTCGACGCTGTCAAAGGCTTTCTCGTAGTCGACAAAGGTTAGGACGAGAGGCAGTCGGTACTCCCGGCAACTTCTATGACCCTCGAAACGGTCTGGATGTGGTCCATGCAGCTGAATCCTTTGCGAAATCCAGCTTGTTCTTGGGGTTGGGCTTCATCCAGTGTCCTAGATATGCGAGCGAGGATAATCTTCGTGAAAAGCTTGTACAGCACACTCAGCAGGCATATTGGATGGTAGTTCCGAAGATCTTCCCGTTCACCCTTCTTGAAAAGAAGGACGGTTCTTGATGTTCTCCACTGGTCGGGAATCCTTTCCTTCTGAAGGTAAGTTGTTAGGTGCGACGCGAGGATCTCGTGTAGACGTTGTCCTCCAGCTCGCAGGAATTCGACGGAAAGATGGTCTGGTCCTGGAGCCGTGGACGTCTTCATGGTCTGAATCGCTGTGCGCACTTCAGCAGGTAGAATTCGTGGTGGTACTTCTCCAGTGGGAACAACGGGCATCGGCACGGGTGTTGATGAGCGGAAGAGGTTGGTATAGAAGTTCTTCGCGATAGATTCCATCTTGTATCGGGAAGAAGTCGGAGTCCCGTCTTCGTTCAATAGTGCAGCCAGCGGTACGCGATATTCATAGAGGTCCCTTCGGCACTTCTTGAGACTTCGTCTTCCTTCGGCTGCTTCCAGTATCTTGGCTTGCCTGTACTTCCTGAGATCCTCCTGCAAAGCTGTTCTGCAACTGGCGTTGGCTATCAGTCGCTCGAGATGGGTTGCATTCGGATCCTGCCTCAGAAATCTTCTTCTTTCAAGCATTTCCTTGGTGGTCTTCGAAACGCGTTCAACATACTTCTCGGAAGTCACTGAGGCGCACTCTCCGCAGGCTCGCAATCCTTTCAGAAGCCGGTCGTAGTCGTACGTTGGGTCCTCCTCGATGGGCCAGTCACAACTTGATATGAGCTCCTCCAGCCTGTTACCGTCATAAACGACATTCTTCCTTCTTGCGACACTGTGGCAGGCCTTCTTTTCCAGCTTTCGGCTAAATCGTATCTTCGCTCGAAGGAGGCGGTGATCGGAGCCACTGCAGAAGGATGGAACTACAGAGACATCGAGCGAGCTCCACCTTCGGTTGGTGAGAATGTGATCGATCTCCGCGTGAGTCGTTCCGTTGGGCGATTCCCATGTCCGCCGGCGATGTTCTTTCTTCATGAAGATGGAATTTCCATGGAAAAGTCGTGCGGCGGAGAGAAGCCCAACAAGACGGTTGCCGTTTTCGTTCCGGAGCCCATATCCAAACTTCCCGATCCTAAATTCCTTTTCCAGTGGCATCCCGATTTTCGCGTTGAAGTCGCCCACAACAAACTTATAAAAGGATTCTCGTTGCGGACAACCTCCTCCACATCTTCGTAGAAAGCATTTAGTTCTGAATCGTTAGCTGCTGATGTTGGAGAATAGCAGTTGATGATGCTGATGGTCTTCTGATGTGGAGGTCGTAGTCGTAGGATGCCTAGTCGAGGTGATAGGATCTCGTGCGAATCGTCAAGATGGACGATAGATGAGTGGACGACAAAGCCGACGCCTCCCACGTTTCGTGATGGAACCTTTTCACCACGAATGATGAGGGTCCCATCACTCATCTGTCGCACGTCCTTCTTCCTGGACTTCGTTTCCTGCAGAGCGATGATGTGGTAGTTGATGTGCTCTGCAGCGTCGAGAAGAGCGTGTAGGTCGGCGTTTGTGGAGACTGTCCTGGCGTTGTAGGTGCAGAGCATGAGGCAATCTCCATGGCGTGTCGTCCGGGCAGACGTGTCGTTTTTGTCCAATCCGAAAGGCGCCCTGAGTACCCTGACATCGTTCTTGCTACCACCCGGCGTCGTAGGCGGGATCCGATGTACAGGGTTTTTTCTAAATCTTCTTGCTGTCTGAGTAATAAAATTTGTTCCCCTACAAGAGGTGGCTTACTAGGCCTACTCTTGACTTCCACGGGGCGATCGCTGACCCCGGGCTTGGAGCGGGGAGGAACCGCCTAGCGACCAGAAGAAGCCAGACGGCGGAGGATCTGGCGTGGCCAGTTCTTAGCTAGGCATCCGGCCGAAACCGGAAACGTCGAACTCCTTCACAGCTTGGGAGGCTTTACCAGAGTATACACTCGGCTGTGCATCGCAGTTCGACACCCAGTGTCACCCCCACGCCACGATGAGGCGACCAACCATTGTGGGGGTGAGGAGGCACTGCCAAGCAAAAATTCTGAATTTCACAGCTTTCAGATTCATTACATACAAAAAAATATTCTGCATTTAGCGCTAATCTGTTCTGTGGCTTGACAGATCTACAAAGTCTCTGAATCTTATAGATTCTCACTCTTCTTATCATAAAGAAAGTATCACGCATCAAATAGTTTTTGTTTTCGACTTATTAGATAAAGAGTCGTAACATCAAGAAACCTATTAACCCCATTTTCTTTTCATACTAGCTCTCGCGATGAAGTCGATTTCATATTGAGTAAACATGAGTCTCATTCTGATATTCTTTTACAGTTAGATTACCGTGTCGAATTCGTTGCCCACTATCATCAAAAGGAGCTACTCATTGCTCTCGCCAGCGATCTGATGCTCTACCACTTCAACATTACTCCAGAATCAACGATTGAAGAAAAACTAAAAGTAAGCGCCAGTTTTACAAGTGAACAATTTTCCGATTGAACATATTTAGGTAAAATTGAATGGAAAAGCTGGAAGCACTGTGATTGTGCTCAAAGAAAATCTCCTCCTAATCTCACACCAAGAGCGAGATCTCAGAGTATGGAATCTTGAAACGGAGGAAAATGGGACAATATCCTTACAATCTGCAAAGGGACACGGTGCTGATGATGCAGTTCTTTGCATGGATTATTCGAAGAAAAAGGGTCTGTTGGTTATAAAAAAGGGAAAAGACTTCTATGACTTTTGAGCAGGTCTACTAAAGGTGTAGGATAACATCTTAATGATATTGGGTTCCACGAATAAGGTAATTACAAAAAAATGTTTTTGAAAATTTGTGCGATTTTTTTATGCCGTACAGAAATGAAAAGATAGAAAAAATGCCCAGGCTCCAAGATAAGAGGGTGTTCAATAAGTTTCTGAGAAATCTTCCGGCATAATGTTTCGCTATGCTATTTGTGAGAGGGTCGGTACCTGAATTTTCAAAATTCTTTTCTACTGCGAAAGAGTGACATTCTACTTCCGCCTGACTTCGTTGATGACATTTTTACGAAGAATTGATTTATTGCAAGGAATGTGAAGTTTGAAGAAAAATGCATAACGAATACAAATCCGTAACAATTTAATATTTTTAGGAATGATATCAGCCGGAACTTTGAAAGGAAAAGTTGCCAACTGGAAGTATCGCGTTGGCGAGGCGACTGTAGAAAGCTCCTGGCGTCTTCAAGCTGGAAATCAAATTGGAGAGAAGGTTGGTTTGCTATAATACATCCTATTTTTTGGATTTTTTCCCTTTCAGGTTACCTCGATAGAATGGTCTCCAATGTATTCGGCTTTGGCTGTGAACACAGGTGCTGAACTGACAATTCTACAAGAGGAGAACAACATCATTTGTTTGAGAAATAAGGTGATAAAGTGTTATTGACATAGGTGTGCTCCTTCAGGCTGAATTTCCTTTATAGGTAGCTGCAATTCAAAGTGGTCCATCGTCATTTACCCTACTTAATGTCATCACTCATGTTAGTCAAGAATTGAAATTAAAGTTTGAAGTCAAAGGAATTCATATACAAGAAAAGCAGCTTGTCGTCTGGGGAGCGGACACGGTAGATAACATTCTTATCGCTTTTGAAAAGTTTTTCTACTTTTTATGATACCTTAACGTTTCAGGTCTCAACCTTCGACGTACAGTCATCGTTAGCGACTATTCAATCTTCCACATTTACCTGTAAGGTTGATGATGTTGTTCTGTATCATCAGACGCTTTATTGTGTCGAGGGTGACAAAATCAATGTCAGGACCCTGCAGGTAAATTTTCCGGGAAAAAATAGGTACTCTATCTGTGCACCTATGTATTATAGTTGCACATGAAACATAGACATGAAAATCTCCTGAAAAAAATTTAAATTACTTAAAAACGTTTTTTCTTCTCAAGAGAATGAAACATTCTGTAATGATTACTACTAACAAATGTGAAAGAACAATTGGATTTAGTAGTTTGGTTGTCCTCTTTTCTTGAAACCTCGGCATGTCGTATTTATGATGTTAATCTTGTTATGCCAATACGAGGTTTGGTGAAGCCTTTTATTAGTGCGGCCTTACGTTTCGAGTTATCGTCGTCTTCAGAGGCCTAGAGTGGTGCGAGATTTAGATCTTATGCTTATCCCACCAAATGCCTTATCACCCTCCGGCTAGTTGCGTTCCCCCCTTCGATTTCACAAGAAAATTCGCATAAAGAGGAAGACGAACCAACCTCAGCGCCGCTTCACCAATGGTGCACTGGTGGTACTGTGCAACCCGTTTTGACGTGTCAGTAGTGCCAATGAATTACACTAGGCAGCTTGATATTATGCATAGTAGCACTACATTATAGCTCACACAACGCTATGAACGGCATCAAGTCATTCGTAATCGTTAAACACTCCTTTCGGTTGTTCATAATAGGGTTTCTCTGCGAGATCCAGAATGCTTCGAGAGCTTTTCGCGCAGAAGTGTCGGTCTCGCAAGCCAAAATCAAACATTTAACTTTGTAGTCTTTATCACCATGCACCTCATGTCTATGTTTCCCTAACGGTGAATTGAGACTGATACGCCTTTTGTTGGCCAAATGTTCTTTTATTCTCACACCAAGTGCCCTCCCTGTTTCTCCAATGTAGGTGGCGCCGCATTCAAAACACTCAAGCTGATATATCACTCCTACTTTTCCACAGTCGCCGACCTTACCGTAAGGACAGATTATGCACTCTTTTGAGATACAAAATCTATCGTACAGCCTATTTCGTACAAGCCGCTTCTTGATGTTATCGCTTGGTATATCCACTAAAATGACATCGTCGCTCAATCGTGCTCGCCTGATGCTGTGTCGTATAGCAACACTAACTTTATCTGAAATGAAGGGCAGACAGAGAGGTATTTTGTCCTTGCACTGAACGATGTTGCGGGTTTTACACGGATTACTGTGCATATGATGCATCAGATAACCATTTGCCCGAGCGATATCCAATGCTAGACTTCGCGATTCTGCCTTTTCCTTCTCTCCTCTACAAACCTGTGTTGCAGTTTTAAACATATTATGGACCACAGCATGTTTTACTGTAGATGGATGAGCAGAGCGAGCATGAAGTATGATGTTCTTTGAGCCGTTTTTACGATACCATTTAACAATTGCATGGCATCCGGACAGTTTAAATTGTACGTTCAAATAAGGAAGCCAGCCGTTAGCGGGTTGTTCACGCGTAAATCTTATGTATTGCGACTGTTGGTTTAACAAGCGAAAACACTCGTCCATTTCGGACTGTGTAGATGTTATTACACAACAGTCATCTATGTACCGGCAATACATAAGAGGAAGTCTTGACAACACCGGATTCTCGATTTTACTCATAAAACATATTGCGAGGACTGGCGCAAGTCTCTGTCCCATCGCTAGACCTCTCAGCTGGGTGAAGTATGATCCTGACCATCTAAAGATGTTACAGCTCAAACACTCCTTGATCAGTATCATAATATACTTCTTGCTCAGCCCGAAAGTCTGGATGTTCTCGCCAAAACTATCCAACATTTCCGATAACGCTTGTAATGCGTCGTCATTTTGAACATTGGTATACAGCGATACCACATCAAATGACTCAGTCACGCATCCGCTGTTGAACTTAGCGTTATGTAGACGTTCGAGAAATTGGTTAGTATTTGACAAGTGGGACGGTATCTTGGCCAGTAGCTGACATACAATCTTATTTAGAAACCAAGAAATCCTGTCGGTTGGTCCTCCAACACAGCTGATGATAGGCCTTATTTTGAACTGTCCGGGTGCCATCAAGCGCGTATTATCGGTTTCAGCAAGCTTGTGTGTCTTAATGAGGCTGTAAAATACGGGGCAACTTGGTGTGTCCAACTTCAATCTGCACAGAAAGCTCTCGTTTAAGCCAGCTGTTTTCCCAACGCTCATCCAAATGTGATTGAGTCGTTTATACTGTGACACAAACTCTTTTTCGGTGACGCGGCGATAAACCGTTGCGTCATTCAGGTGGAGCTGTGTAATTTCGCGATCTAGATCTTGAGGTAGAATCACAAACTCCCCTCCTTTGTCACTTACAGAAATGCGCACAGTATCGGTCTTAATCAAATCACGTAACTCCTTGTAACCAAGCCATTGTGAATGCGTCAAGTTCATGTGGTGCGGCTGTTTGGAATTGTATGCAGCCAAGACACCAGATGACAAGACTTTGAACTTGGCGTCTGCCTCAGGTGTTGAAGGAGGCTCTTTGTAAAACAGGCTTGGAAACGGTATTGGTGGTAGCAGCTGCTTACTGAGTTGAACTTGCCCATTCTGTCGATCTCGGTTGTTATTGAACTTGGCTCTCATTCTCAATTGATCTCGGAGTCTTTGAAGTCCAGCAACGACTTTGCGGAAAACTGACCCATTGACATTCTGAGCAATAGAGAATGAGGGGCCTAAGCTGAGAAACTCATATGCGTTATTCGAAATTTGTGCATTACCGATTACTGTGACTCTTGCCGTCTTATCAGGGTACTCATTATGAGCTATGTCAGCGTCGAAGCGGTGGTGCTTAGGTGAGCTGCTTCCTGTATTTAATTGAATTTTACAAGTGGCATCAAAGAGTTTGTCGTACTTTGCGCAGAGCGAGGACTTGGCGTTAGATCGAACAGAGTCACAGATCGATCTCGAGCCTTGCTCAATCCTCCTCCAAGTCGGATAAGGCAGAAGACGTCGACACGCCTGCTCTTTGCTGTTACATTTCAATAAAGAAGAATACAATAAACGTTGTTTTTCTTCGATCACCAGTCCCAGCATCGTGCGGTAGATCTTCTTGACTTTTGGGTGATCTTCGGTAACGTTACAGATGGTTTCTATCTTCTTATTTGAGATGAACCGTGGCACAATGTCGTGCGCCTTACACCGCTTCAGAAATATGATCGATTGACGAGTCGCAACCATTGGATATCGCTCGGGCAAATGGTTATCTGATGCATCATATGCACAGTAATCCGTGTAAAACCCGCAACATCGTTCAGTGCAAGGACAAAATACCTCTCTGTCTGCCCTTCATTTCAGATAAAGTTAGTGTTGCTATACGACACAGCATCAGGCGAGCACGATTGAGCGACGATGTCATTTTAGTGGATATACCAAGCGATAACATCAAGAAGCGGCTTGTACGAAATAGGCTGTACGATAGATTTTGTATCTCAAAAGAGTGCATAATCTGTCCTTACGGTAAGGTCGGCGACTGTGGAAAAGTAGGAGTGATATATCAGCTTGAGTGTTTTGAATGCGGCGCCACCTACATTGGAGAAACAGGGAGGGCACTTGGTGTGAGAATAAAAGAACATTTGGCCAACAAAAGGCGTATCAGTCTCAATTCACCGTTAGGGAAACATAGACATGAGGTGCATGGTGATAAAGACTACAAAGTTAAATGTTTGATTTTGGCTTGCGAGACCGACACTTCTGCGCGGAAAGCTCTCGAAGCATTCTGGATCTCGCAGAGAAACCCTATTATGAACAACCGAAAGGAGTGTTTAACGATTACGAATGACTTGATGCCGTTCATAGCGTTGTGTGAGCTATAATGTAGTGCTACTATGCATAATATCAAGCTGCCTAGTGTAATTCATTGGCACTACTGACACGTCAAAACGGGTTGCACAGTACCACCAGTGCACCATTGGTGAAGCGGCGCTGAGGTTGGTTCGTCTTCCTCTTTATGCGAATTTTCTTGTGAAATCGAAGGGGGGAACGCAACTAGCCGGAGGGTGATAAGGCATTTGTGGGATAAGCATAAGATCTAAATCTCGCACCACTCTAGGCCTCTGAAGACGACGATAAGTCGAAACGTAAGGCCGCACTAATAAAAGGCTTCACCAAACCTCGTATTGGCATAACAAGATTAATATCATAAATTGAATTTAGGTTAATGAAGGTTGAAAATTGCATATGATTTTAGGGAACAGTTCGTCAAATTCTCTCCCTGCCTGAAATGGAAGGTGATCCTGTTCTAATCCATTCAAGTAAAAATTTTCTAGCTGTAGCCACAGCAACTGGTTTCATCCGGATCTACAGTTTGAGCGGCAAGTCAGTAGGAATTTATGTTTTGTACTACTTTACACATTTTTTATTCATTAGCTGCTTTTTCACGATTTTATTATAAACATATGTTGACCAAATCAGCAAATGTTGTATTTACTGGGCAGTTTTCAGCTAAAAAATACGTAATAAGTTTTTTTGCTCGGCACCTTAAAAAAGCCTCTGGGGGGCTGATCGATAAGCAACTACACAAAAGTGAAAATTTTTGCTGAATGAAGATCAGCTAATCTTTTTTTGAATCAAATGTTTGTGGAAATGGACTCATTTCCAATTTTTGAAGCAGTTTCATAAGATCGAAAATCGAGCTCCTGCTGTTGAAAGATGTACTGTACTCTTTTAGTTGTAGACTACATCACAGATTATTGCAGAGAAGCACGTCAAGAGTATCACTCGAAATACATGGTAGAAGCTCTGGACGAGTTTCATCGCTTCGCTTCAATGAAAGTGAACATCTCTGGCAACAGGGTTGCCTGTATCTACTATGCTGTAATCAAATCTACATTGTTGAATCACTCTTCCCCATAATAACAAATTCCAGACACCGCTCAAACTCGGGGACCGCATTCTTGTATGGGATGCCGAGGCCGATCTGATAGCTTATTTCTCATTTGCGCTTGGGATGACCGATCAGCAACAGTATGAAGCGGAGGCAGAGCTAGCTAGCTCCCAAGGTCGGCCAGTGACAGCGGCAGCGAGGTATCAAGGAAAAAGTGTTTTTTACAGAAAGTTGAGAATTTTCTTACAGGAAAATGGAGCGTGATCAGACGAGGTTTCGATTGCCAATGCATGAGCCAGCATCAATTTTCTGGGATGAAACCGATGACCGCTTCCTTGTCTGCCATGCCCAACCAACTTCACAGCATGTGGTAAATCACTTTTCTGTATTTCCTAGGACAGATTACCTCCGGTGGAATCGATCCAGCTTCCTCGGACAAGAAACGGTGACAATTTGTTTGACAAATAATGGGTTCAGCTCAGAATACTCTCCTAGCACTTCTTGTGATTGGGAGGCTCTTTGAGTTTGAAAAACAAAATTCAACCAGTCAGTCCAAGCAGAAATTTTGATGAATGACAAACCACAGAACAACTTCTTTGAATAATGGGCGTAGTTCACTTACCTAAAGAGTCTTTTGGAACTTTTTGAGAGGGTCTTCGGACAAAAATCAAAATTTCCCAGTCCACCATCGCATTCAAATAATGTGTGCTGCATATTCTCCTATATGGGTCTGCCTCGTGGGTTCTTTTTTTGAGAAGGTCTTCAGATTTACAAAAGTTCAAAATTCATCAGTTCCCATCGAGGAATTCTCAGATCAGAATTATGGAATGACAAGCCGAGTGGAGAGGGAGGGGAGGGGGGGGGGGGGGAAAGAACGAAAGAGGGGACGAGTTTAAGTTTCCTCTCCAACCGTTGTACCGTAATTGAATTTTGAGGTTGATGACATGATCCTGACCATGTTCGTCACCTCTGATCACGGCATTCATCTTCAAGATTTATCTCGCAAATCGTCCGCTTCGGATGCTCTCATCGGTGTTTGTGTGCCAAACCTTTACTTTACGAAAAAGGTACAAACCTAAGAAATTCAACTGCTTTCAATCAAGTCCTTTCATTACAGATGGAATTTGAAGAAGAAGAGATTAGAGGCGAAAAATCGGTTGGACGCTTCTTGATCGCTCGTTCGTTGCGCGAATTTTCTGGTGTTGAAAATTGTGACGACGCAACCAGGAAAGGAATGATGGACTTTTGTTATTACCTAAGCATCGGTCAAATGGACGAAGCTTTCAAAGCTATTCGATTTATCAAAAGGTTCTAGTTTGGCTATGTTTTTGGACAAGTTTTTCGAAAAAGTTTTGTCTTACAATCCTTGAACAACTTCACAGTCTTTGCCTTGTGCTCCGCAAAACGTTTCTGAAGGGAAACCCGGCAATTTGTCGTAAAAAAAGTTCAGTTTGAACGATTTATGACTGGGCAGGTTCTATCGTATGAGAAATTGTACGGTACACGGTAGTAATACTGTCTTTCAGTGAAAGCGTTTGGGAGCACATGGCATCTATGAGTGTGAAGACACGACGATTAGACGTTGCTGCCGTTTGCCTTGGAAATATGAAGAACATCAGAGGAGCCAGAGCATTGCGAAAAGCTCAGGAAGCTGGCGAAAGCGAGGTGCTGCAATGCGCTGCGTTGGCCGTCGAGCTAGGAATGCTGGTGAGCGGAATTTCAATCGAATTGACTTGGTATACAGGGTCCTGTGCAGTATGCCAGCTGAAGTCAAATGACAAAAAGGGCGGGGAGCGCTTCTGATCTGCAGATCACAAACAGTCTTAATCTGAATTTTTTTCGATCACTTCTTTTGATAGTCTCTTGCACTACAGATTTTGAAGTTTTGTGCACGCTCACGCACATACTTTTAGAATAACCTTAACGCTATCCAGAGTGTTTGCTGATGATATGATTTTTTTTGTTACCTTATTTGCTCTGATCAGACTTTCAAAGAGATATTCTTCAAATGCTGTAAAAAAACTAGTGGATACTGGCAGTGTTTTCATAGAATTTAGAAGAAGTATACAAAAGTTGCGCAACTCTGTAGGGGAAGATGCATTGTAACTACAAGCTACAGTTAGACTTTCTTGATAAACAACTGCCAAATTTATATGATTCCCTCTCTTTAATAAATTAGCTGAGAGCAAACTTAAGGGCCACATGGAAATGGGCCTTATTCTTGAACTATTTCTATTTCCAATTTCTGGGATCTCTCTTTCTCAAGAATTACACGATTCTGTAGTCACTAACCGTGAAATGAGTATCAAAAAAATTTTACTCCGAAAATCCTCTATCCTTTTTATTTATAAGTCGAAAACGATTTAAGCATTCATAAGCCTGATAGCATTGAGCTTGTGGAACTTTTTGACTCACAAAACTTGCTATCTTTCCTCCAAAAATTTCGTTTAGGATGACGCAGAGGCGATGTATGTAAGTGCTGGACGATATGACATGGTCAACAAAATCCACCAAGCTCAGAATGCGTGGAGTCAGGTGAAAACACAAGAAGTTCGGCTTTGAGGTAAAATGAGATCACTTCAACTTTTTTTAGGCTTTCGAAGTTGCTTCACGTTACGATAGGATACATCTGAGAAACACGCACTACAATTATGCAAAATATTTAGAAAGAGCTGGAGCTCTTGAACCTGCTATTGAAAAGTTAGAATTTTAACATAATTAGGTTTCCTGCTCTTTTCTCCTGCTATCGATATGCAAAATCTACAACGTCTTACTATTGAGTTTACAGTTTTGAAAAGTCGGAGACTCATCATTTTGAAGTGCCACGAATGTTTGCTGATAGCCCTAAGATTCTAGAGGGCTACGTAAGAAGAAAACGAGAACCGTAAGGAGCACCTAACATCTGAGCCCACATTATTTGAGTTTATAAGAATTTGTATTCTGTTAAGAGAACTACATTCATGGTGGGCGCGATACCTGGAAAGCATTGGAGAACTAGAAGGTGCCATGGGTTTCTACAGCGCAGCTAAGGACAATTTGTCGCTGGTCAGAATAAAATGCACCCAGGGAAAGCTAGAGGAGGTAAGGGACAGCCCCCCCCCCAACCAGTCTAGAAAAAAGATTTTCCTTGAACTTCAGGCAGCTAATCTAGCGCTGGAAACAAAAGACAAGGCTGCTTGCTTTCATGTTGCTAGAATATTCGAAGCTGAGGGTGATTACTCAAAAGCTGTTGATTTCTACACCAAAGCCCATGCATATAACAGTGCTATAAGGCTGGTTAAGGTAATTTTTTTTTAGTTTTGTAGTTTTTCTGCCCCTTTGAGATTGCCTTTAGGAGCACGATATGAGAGATTTGTTGGCAAATCTATGTTTGATGGCTGGAGGTAGTGAAATTGTGGAAGCAGCTCGATACTTTGAAGATATACCTGGGTACACGCATCAGGCAGTGATGCTATATCACAAGGTTTGATTTTTCATTACTCTAAATCCATAAAAATGAGGCAGTACGAGAATTTTTTCCTAACAAGGAATATGAATTCAAATTTATTTTTTGACTTTTCCCGGCACTTCCCACATAATTTTCTGCATTTCTGCTCTCCAAGTTTCAATTGATAAGTATAATCTTAATAGGCAAGCTAGAAACCAATGTTGTTCTGCGTATGTTTTAGGCTGGTATGATAGGCAGAGCGCTCGATCTTGCCTTTCGAGCTGAACAATTCAGCGCTTTGGACCTTGTGACCAAAGATCTTCATGCTGGTTGCGACCCGAATGTTCTCAAGGTAAGTGCACAAGTCCATAATAAGGCATTCGTTGATCTACCGTAATCTCGTTACCGTATCCGTTTCAGCGTGCAGCAGAATTCTTCGCAAACAATCAAAATTATGAAAAAGCTGTTGAACTATTGTGTTTGGCTAAAGACGTGGGTAGACTAAGACTTCCGAATTTATTTATTTCCAACTTTCACAATCAATTTTCTAAATTATAGTTTCGTCAAGCAATTGATCTGTGCCAAAATCACAATGTAAGGCTAACGGACAAAGTGGCCGAGCTTATGACACCTACCAAAGGTACGAATCGAAAAGCTAGTTGCTAGTGGCGGCTCCGTCTCAGAAATATTTTTTGGGGATAGGGGAGGGGGCGACAAATTTTGCAAAAAGAAGCAGGCATACCCCTAGAAATTCGCTAAATATCTCATTACCAATGAGCAGTTTGCTTCATTTTTCTCATTTTGAGTGAAAGCGAACATTCTGGGTGGTCCATCTTAAATCGTCCACTAGAGTATGTTCTGTAAAGCGAAGTTTGCGGACAATCGCGCATTTAAAAATTGTCAAAGGAAATTTCTGGAAATATCAACTGTGTGTACACTATGTATACATTAGGTGAGAGCTGCTAGAATTATGCAGATCCAAGTCCGAAACTTTCCATGTTCATATTCAAAGTCACACAAAAGGAAGTATTACCCCATAATTTTGATTTTGCCACCTAAAATTTTTCTAAACAGTACAAGATTGGAAGCTTCAGATATAAGAGGATGTTATGTGCTTTTAAAATGTTCGAATAGCTTCCAGAGTTGCCGTTCTTAAGAAAGAAATATTGCCAAAAATGACCGTATAGAATTTCGTATTTTTGAAGTAACTGTAATTTGTCGTGATGTGCAATTTGGGCCGCTAACGATCATGCTGCTCCTTCAAAAATTTTTAAACCTTTTATTTGCCAAGAAACCAACTTTTCAAAAATCACCAAAAAGTTAAACTGTTATGAAAAAATCATTTTTAAAATCTTGAGAGATGCTCGTATCTTATCTGTTGTGTTTGAAGCTAAGATTTGCTCTTGTTCTCATTACTTGGTTCCGGGGAATACGACTGAATAAAAATTAATAAAAGTCGATAATGACAAAATTATCACACTACAAATTTCTGGGGATAATTGGGTGCTGATAACATTTTTTCCCAAAAGAACTGCTGGAGAAAGATTAGCAAAGTTGGGAGAATCTTCTGAACCATTTCGCGAGTTGATCTACTCAAATCTGGAAAAAACGGGATATTATAATATTTCGTTCGCTGGAACACATAAATGTTACTTGCTATGTCAATGACTAGCGAATTTAGAAACTACTCCTAATGACACTGAAAGGAAGAGATTACTCGAAAACATAGCAGAGCTGGGAGTGCAACAGGGCAACTATCATTTTGCAGCGAAGAAGTACACTCAAGCTGGTGACAAACTTCAGGTAGAAATTTCTATTTCGTACGTTCTATATTAAATCTGCATGTCTACATTTTCTCTAGGCTATGCGAGCATTGCTGAAATCTGGTGACACACAGAAAATAGTATTTTTTGCTAACACCGCTAGGAATAAGGATATTTATATTTTAGCTGCAAATTATCTCCAGGTGAGTAGACTTCGAAACTTTCTGATTATTTTTCACAACATGATTTTTTCAGACTACCGACTGGCAAGGAAACGCGCAGATCATTCGAGAAATTGAGACATTCTATTCGAAAGCGCATTCTATGCTTCATTTGGCAAATTTCTACAAGGCTTGCGCCTTTGTGAGTAAAAAACTTTGTCTTCAAGTAAAAATGCAATTTGCCAATTTTTATATTTGAGCAGCTTGTGGTTTTTTTTTCCTCTCTCATTAGTTTTCTTGTAGATGGAAGTTGAAACGTTTAACGATTTTGCAAAAGCAGCTGAAGCACTCACACATGCACAAAGGACCGTCGAGCGAGGAATCCAAGAACAATCTGCCAATCCTGAAAAGTCGAATACTATGAATGCGTTGACTGAGCTGAGACACGAAATCTCTGAGCATCTAGCGCAGCTGGCGAAGTTCGAGAAAATCAAAGAGTGAGCAGATTTTTTCAATTCTTGCGCTGTGATGGAATTCCGATATCAAGATATCAATGCATGCAATATGATAGAAATGTGAATGATAGCCGAGTCCTAATACGGGTAATGGAACACCACAATTCCAGCAAAGGCGGTCTAGAAACTTATTTGGGGGGAGGGGGTCAGGAGGAGGGAGGTGGCAGCCTTTCCACCAAAGATTCACAGACTACCTGTCACTGAAAAGAATTGCTTACAAAGCTCATTTGATTTTTGACACAATCCATAAAACTGCCTAGATCGCTTACAAATAAAAAAAATTTGAACCTTATATCACATCTGAAATTTCGCGACACATTCTCGTAGGAGGGGAGCGGGAGAGGGAAGGAGCATGACAAAAAAACATATTTCACCTTTTCTATGTCATAGATGCATGAGATTTTCTCACGTCTCCTCTTATTCTAGAGTCTACGCTACCGATGAAAACGATGCGATTCTACAGCTACAAAATCTTGTAGAAAATTCTAGCGAAGATTCCATAATTCGACCAAGTCACATATATTCTTTGCTTATTGCGCACTATGCTGGAAAGCGGAACTATAGACAGGTAACAAAGATTACCCTTGTTGAAAATTGATGGAAAGGACAAAGTAGTTCTTTTATTTTAGGCCTATCGCTGTATCCAGCAACTGCAAAAGTCTCAGAAAAATCTCGACTTGACGACGATAATCGATGCAGAACTTTTGGACAAGGTAAGAACATTAGGTTTCAATTTATATGTTTACAAAGATTTTTCCTGCACAAATGATTTTATATGTCCGATCGGTGCGTATGAAACTACAGCAAGTACGAGAGAAAGCGATTAGAAATCCTATTGTTTCTGTCGGGCATTTCTTCAAATAAAATATCTTGTTTGAAATCATTGGGGAAATGACGTTAACTGTTTGAGCTTCACGTCAATTTTTTCGTTCTTGCTTGGATAGGAAAAACCGAAAAAAATCGTGACTGAAGAACACAAAAATATGTTGCAGTTACTTGCTTGTATTATAGTAGCGCATCTAAATCCACCTGGAAAATGTGAATCCCAGGTAGAAAAAAGGGAAAGTATTCTTTCTAGAGCTATCACGTCTCAAGATTTCTCAATAAACTTTTGATGAGACAGCGTCTCATTGGAGGCTAGAAAGTCTTTGGATCAGGATTTCTTTTTGGACCAAATCTTTCAAGGGATAGAGGTGTTTGGTAGAGATTTTGGGATGATGGCGCACTCAATAAAGCTCGATATAACCAAAGTTGCACTCAATCTCAAAAAATGCATTCATGCTTAAAGATCCCCCTAATATCTTAGCTAAGTAAGATGAAGTAAACGCCAGGTTATAAATGCTGAGAAGTGAATGCTCTCTTCAGTTCAATTTGAAGAAGGCGTCGATAATTTTTTCCATTGTAGTCCCGGATCTCTCGATTCTCTTTCCCATCCTGCTATTTTGGTGATTTTTTTATCTTTGCTATCGTACTAATTTTTGCTTGAATCCGCTGACGAATGACATCGCATAACGATCCAAATACTCTTTCGAGTGTAGAAAAGTCTGGTAGAAGGTTGGAAGGGATGGTTTTGGAGCAAAAATCGTCCACTTTCACACTACATAATTTTCATTACATAAATAATGTCCTTGAAATCCTCTTTTCTAACCTTTGCTTCTGAAATGTGTATAACAAAATTGAGCAAAGCGTTTCCAGATCTGTGATGAGCTAGAAGTTCCACGAGTTACTGTTCGTCAAGCCGACGAGAGGGATTCCGACAACGAAGTCGAAGGCGTAGATTTCAGCCATGCCATGAAGAAAAGAGGAGCACTCTTTTAGTTTATATTGTGCAAGTGAAAGATCAACTGAGAGAACTGTGAAGAATAAAATATGGAAATTTTTCGTGTTTCTAACTGGGAAAGGATACACGGTCGAAGCGCCGTTTCCATAAGAAATGTATATGCCTTATAGAGCATGGAACAATGTTTTCAAATCTTTCGGTATCTGCAAAGCGCTTTTGGAAGTAGAGTTATGGAAATTTTTTGAAGCAAAATCCTGAATGGGGTACAATAAATTTACTCAGAACTGTCATCCGTAAGCTCCAATGGGTCTATGACTAATTCCGGAAAGCTTCATGCAGCAAATAATTTCAATTTATTAGGTCGTCCCGAAAGTTTTGTCGGTTTTTTCAGACCACTATAAAACCGCGCTCAATGAAGATCTGAATGAGCTTCAGAATGTTTTCGATACATCTTTTCCTTCTCTTTCTTGTGGTTACATTTTCGAACCAGAATCCCGTATGCTTCCTTTTATAATTGCTGAAATTCTTCACCCGTCATTTTTGTCTGCTTAAAGTTCGGCCAATTTTTGGAAACTTCATTTCGAAGTTTCGGAAAGGGTTAAGTAAGGAATAAATAGAGCAATTCGCGGACTACAAGATGATATTTTTGGATTCCACTAGTCTGCTGATTTTCGCTTCAAAAAGTTATTTCTTCGGAGGTCTCGATTTTTGGTAAAGTCATATAACACGCAACTGCAGCAAAAACATAAAAACTTCTGAAGTTTCTGCAAATTGCAACACGATTCTTATTGAACACTAATTGTGCAACATTATCCAGTTTGACTCGCTTTGAAAAAGCAGCTTTTTGGAATTTTCGGTACTTTTACGTGGCAAACGTAGTCAAAAAGCCACGGTTTTCATTAAATAAATAATTATAACGGATTTGGTAAACGTAACCCACGTAATCTAAAATGGGTACATTGTAGCCAAAGCTTTGCTCTACATAACAGTCACCAGCGTTCCTTAGAAGTGTCAGGAGAGAAATTTTAAAAATTCATAAAGGTTTGGCGTTACTGTTGAGCTGCTCAAAAAGCCATGGCGGTAACATTGCAAAGACAGGGTAGGTCAGAGAACAAATATAGCTGTAAGGAAGAGGATGAAAATCTAAACCAAATGGTACCTAGAACGTTTATGGAATGGTGTTCTGTGAGTTTTAGTGAGCGATGGAAAAAACCGACAAAACTTTCGGGACAACCTAATAATGAAATCATGGCAGTCATTACTTTTTTAAAGCCAAGAGACCTGAACACCTGCTTCTACCTTAACCAAACCCTTGAATTTTTACTTCAAGAAATTCCCACAACTCCCCTCTCAGACCTTTGCAGATAATGGAAACAGATTTGGAATCAGCATTCCAAGCTCTATAGCACAGTATACATTTCATGTAGAAGCGCCGCTTCGGCCCTTCCCTTGTAAGAAGTACTTTTTCGAAAACGTTCATCTTTATCTTTATCTTTATCTCATACACGTAAACGTGATAAAGCCTGTTTGAGTAACGGAAACATTGCTAGACTAAGATAGACTAGCCTGTCATCTTTCAGCAGAACAAACAAACAGCGAATGAGGGCCTCAGGCGTTGAAGGAGAAAAATTTTTATTTGGTCAAGGGAGGTCAGGTGATTGGCATTGGGGAATGCCACTGCCACTTTTTCGAGCTGTGCAAAACGTCTGCGATTGGTTCCTGCGAAATATCCACCAACCTGATACCACCGACGCTCGGATACGTCTGCCTTACTTTCGGAAAGCTATGCATGAAACGCAGCAGTCTACGGTCCCAAGGCGCAGTGCTGTTGCTCATCCACGATAAACAGAGAAACACAAAGACGATAAATCGAAATGTGTTCGTGTATGTACGTATTGTAGTCAATGCATCAAAATCATGCCAATTTCTACTACTTGTGTTTTGTGCGGTGTTGTTGACTTCCAGTCTAAGACTGGAAGTCAACAACACCGCACAAAACACAAGTAGTAGAAAAGCTTATCTATGCGTAAGAGATGCTTTTGCGTGGTAATTTCGCTCATGTATACTTCTGCATATCTCCTATCTTCTAACAATAGGCATCGGTGCAAAAGGTATCAATAATATCCGTGTCTGCGAAAGAGGAGGTAGTATCTACAATATACAACGTAGAAATTCGGTGGCTCAAAAAGCTCAGAAAAGTCAAACGAAGGTAGAATTTAGCTTGAAGAGCAATATAGCTAGATACTATCTCCTTTATCGCAGACACGACTTTATTGACGAACTAAAAATCAAAAAAAAGTTCTCGCAGTGCTCCTGCTCTAATGCTCATCAAAAGTGAGTTATTTTTTCATTTAGTTGAGTGAACAACAATGTTGTTGGAAGTATAGCCTCGATGTGTTATAAGTGCTTACTACTCTGTTTAAATTTGAGATTTTGTAAACAATAACTCGAGTACGGAGTATGGAGTACATTATCTTTCACTTTTGTTAATGAAGAATTAGCAGATCCCAACACATACGCCATTGTTGATACTATTCCAAAAACTCAAAAAAACCTAAAAAAGACTCGTGCAGCAGTATCTCACACACGCCAGTTTCAATAACAACCTTGTACGAAGCTGCAAAGCTCTTCAGACGGTTGACATCTTTGAGGGCATTGAGAAAACCTGTTAGGGTTTGATCAGCATGACTTTTAAACAAGGTATTTTCTCAGACAATGACCCGGACGAGCGGCGAATTTTGATTCGTGGGCGTGGCTTTCTTGCGGACGAGCGGCGTACCCTCACCACCGAGCTTGCGAACGGCGGATTTTGATTTGACAAGCGGCGGCGATCCCCTCAAGCGAGTGGGCAACGTCCATCATTATCATACTCCTTATCTTACATCATCTTGAAGTTCTCTAATTGCGGTGTTCTTCGTTTTGTCAATGCTGTTTTTATGGTGGCTATTTGAGCTACTAAAATGATTTGAGGTTAGTCGTTGCCGCTGAATCACATAAACTTCTCTCCGCATTCATTACATCCAGAACGGGGAAATGAGGAAAGAAGCGGATACAAAGAAGTGAATTTTGACTATGACAACGACTAATTCTTGGTATATGCAGAAAGCCGACCTTTTAGTGGAATTTTCGATGGCAAGAGGTTTGGTTCTTTTGCAAAATTATAGAGGTAACAAAAGGTGAAGAAAAGTCTGCGGTGGAACGAAGTTTGAAGTAGGTTAGCGTTTGTTCGTGTTAAAAGCAAGTGCATCACGATGTCAGAATCGTATTTTCAATGTGTATCTGCATAGATTGCAAGTGAAGGGTTATCCGAGTAAAAAGTGAAGCTGAATCCACGGCCTTTCACATGGTTCGCTCTTCTGATATTCACGAACTTACACATACTATTTAACTTCGAGTCATTTGTAACTTAGTATGTGAGACTGCACACTAAGTCCTGTTAGCGACGGCACCCTTACTGGTAATTTTCCGGTAAAACATTTCTTAGCCTGACAAAGTGTAGAAATGTGTTCTATGAACCAACTTATAATCAACAAAGGCGAAAAAGACAAAGAAACAAGCAGAAATCTCTGGAAATGAGCAGGTTATAGTTTTGCTGTTCGTCCATTAGCGTGTTTAGTGTGCACTAGGCATATTAAGTTACAAATGACTCGACGATAGTTTCTTTTAGTGACTCTGCGACATTTCTTTCCCTTCACCAAACTTGAAAGCAAATGCACATCAACTACCATTATCTTGTTCCATACATGGTGGCTGGAATATCACTTGACGTTTTCTGCGTTTTGTGTTGTTGCTTACCCGTCCTAATAGATTGACCATTGAAATGCCTTGTATGAATCCGATTGTGTGTCTGTAGCCAAAGTTGCAGACTATAAGCGGTAGGCAGCAGACTGTCGGGTCCTTGTAATCCTGTAAAGAGAGGGCCGGAGGCGGGAAGCATGATTAGCAGCCCGCCAAAGGCACGCCGCTCGTCCGTTTGATGTACGAGCGGACGAGCGGAGTACTGTCAGTGGAAAAGTGAGGGGAAGTGTGATCGCCCGCTTTATACCTCTAGCGGCGGGAAACGTGCCTCTAGAGGACGAGCGGCGGGAGGCATAATCGCCAGCCCGTAGAGGCCCGCCGCTCGTCCGAGTTATTCTCTGAGTTCGTAAACACGAATTTCACGTTTACAGCCAGGGCCCGGCACGAGGTTGTCAAAAGGGGTTTTCGAAAACAAATTCCCCTTTGTCCCAGAAATTTATTTACGAATTCCTCTTTAACCCAAAAACTGATCCCAGTGATTGCGCAGTGAACACTTTACCCAAAGAACGAGTTTTATTGAAGAAGAAAACAAACATAATTCATTCATAACAAAAAAAAACAAATGAGATCACATTAGAGATCTCTGGAGTGAGGTCATTGAAACATAATTTGCACCGGCAGCTAGGGAAGGGGGGAATTCGTACAATTCGTACCATTCATATACACACAATTTCCAAAACCTCTCACCCTCAAGTATTCGAGTTCCACATTTACTCCTTCTCGCCTTCTCACTCACTCTCAATTACTCTAGTAATCCTACAAACATACTTCTAACTCCACTCCACTCGTTCATCCTCACCCTCAAGTAATCTGCATTCTTACAGTCCCTCTCACACACCCTCATCTCCAAATAATCCACTTCCACATCCACTTTTCAACTCCACTCCCCTCACTCACTCACTTTCCCCTTAAAAAATCAAAGCGCAAGCACTAGCTTGCGCTTTGCGCCAAGACGCCAAGACATATCGTGCACCAAGACGCACCACCCTATTCAAAATAACTGAAGTATGATTGGCTTATCACATACAAAGACCAGAAGAAGTAGAAATGCAACAAAAATAAAAACAAATCGGAAGAGAAGATTGAGTTCACCATTTGACCAAACACAGATAATAATTTCCCGCAGAGTCGATACCAATTTGTAGGTATGAGCAGAACACCCATTTAGCACTTGCACGATGTGCTTTAAAACCTTACGCATAAAGAAAATTTTCAGCCAAGTCGAAACGTCTGACCATCGTCACGAATGTAAAAATCTCTCACTCTCAAAGTGCAGTAATTAGAGATACACAAGGTGCAGCAAGAAAGACTAGACAGTTAGATCTTTTCATTAAATAGAGAATACGAAGTATGAAAAGCTTATATATTAGGTTGTTCCGAAAGTTCTTTCCGTTTTTTCAACCTATCATAAAAACACGTGGAATGAAGGTAGGGAAACGCTTTAGGCAACATCCGACGCAACTTTTCTTCCCCTTTTAAACTGTTATGTTCGTTTGCCGTTTGCTATTGTGGTCCGTGAGATAATGGCCGAAATTTCGGACCTATGGTTTTTACCATGTCCAACTTTGGCAATTTTTCACTATCTTCTTTCTCAACTTTTGGAGAAACTTTGATAGCAGTCAGATAGAGTGAACAAAGTGCAATGCAATGTAATTTTTTGGCGATTTGAGCTGGCTTCTCATTATTTTTTTAGATAACTTTTTCAAAAGTCTTCACTTTTTCGAACTCACAAAACACACAAACGCTCTGAACATCAACAAATCTTCGGTTTTCAAAACTTTCAAAAGTCGTTTATGATTGAACACTATTTTTACAAAGTAACTGAGCGTTTACCGCTTCGAAATATAAGATTTTGCATTGCACGGATACATCATGAGGCGGGTTCAAAATCAAGATTTATGGAAATTTTGTCGCCAAAGACCCCACAAAGTGATGAGAGAAAGTACTCATCAGAAAGAGGAGAAAAAGCTGCATCGAATGACACCTTAGTTGTGCGCCGTTTTATGTTCTGTGGCTTCTGGCATCCCCAAAAGTGGAATTTGATAGCATCAGAAAAATAATTCTAAAAATGTTTTGAGGCTAGCTATAGATGCCAAAAAATCGCATAAAATTGCATTTTGTTTACTTTATCCGACTGCTATCAAAGCTTTTCCAAAAGTCAAAAAAGAAGATAGCGAAAAATTGCCAAAGTTGGACATGGTAAAAACCATGGGTTCGAAATTTCGGCCATTATCTCACTGATCATAAGAGCAAGCCGCACAGTACTATGACAGTTGAAAAGAGGAAGAAAAGCTGCGTCGGATAGTGCCTGAAGCGTTTCCCTACCTTCATTCCTCGTGTTTTTATGATAGGTTGAAAAAACGGAAAGAACTTTTGGAACGACCTAATATATACACCATACCCAAAGATCCTAATTGCAGAATGTTTAGACAGCACCTACTGAACAGACATTACATTTCTACGAATGCCGCAAGGCACACATTCCTTCCCCTAGAAGCAAATTGAAGTTTACACGGTGACAAGCAGATCACGAGCAGATGCGCTCGGCTCGAAGACCTGTTGCCAGCTGGAATTTGCTTTATCATCACAACTTCTCTCATCTAGCGAGCGTTGATCACCTAAAAGAGCGCGTGTAACCCTCTTTTTCCTTTTCGGCATATAATATTTTAGAAAATTAACTTATAGGAATGTAAAAAATAAGTGGATACAAATGCCAGGTATACCCAAAACCTCATGTGTAGGTAGACTGAATAAGATTATTGAAGTATCAAGGATAAGGAATACAGATACTATAATTCAATATCAGGACTTTCGAAAGACTACGGGTGTGCTCAGCCACTTGCAGTTCTACTGTAGCGATATCACAATAAAAGGGCGCTCTTCCAGTATTCGGGCCCCAACGCCGCTGAGCTGCTGGTATCTGGCACAAGTGCCGTGTGAGTCTAGATCTTGCAAATAAATGGCTGTTAGTCTCTACGTAAATGGACAGAAATTGGCTAGATTTTTTGGTAGTGAAGGTAAAGGCAATGCAAAACAAAGTATTGCACACAAGACAAATTGGAAAATTGTAAAGCAATCACTAGTCTAGTTATTGCAAACATGAGCTATTCCATTAGTCATGACACCAAACGGTTCCTTCCCTCAAAATCAAAAGGGAAACGTTGAGCGCACAGCTAATGAACAGCAATCTCGCAAATATACTTTATATTAGGTCGTTCCGAAAGTAATGTCGCTTTTTTCGAATGAACGCCACTATTCGTGAAGTCAACATTTTCAAAAGATATTAGGAGCATTCGATGCAGCATTTCATTCTCTTTCTAATGGTTCTAATTTCTCTGCATAATGTTTAGCGAGCTCTCGAAAAATTACCAAAATCTGCGACTCATGCTTTTTGCCATAGTCAAGTTCGGCTATTTTTCTAAATTTTTGTACCTAATCTCCGAAAAAGTACAAGTGCCAAGTAGATAGAGCAAACCCCATAGGACACAGAGTAATTTGTTCCTTTGCCTTAGCTTGCTTCTTAGAGTTTCTGTAATCAATTTCTCAATGCCATCAAATTCCATATTTAGTCAAGTCAAACCTCACAACCGGCAAGCGACTCGGGTGTCATTCCATGCAGCTTTTTCTCCTCTTTCTAGCGATCGTTTTTTGTTTCCGATTGATCAAGTTTCCCGGGATAAAATCATCATAATTCATGTTTTCGAAGGCCGCAGGCTGTAGCCGGAATTTTCGAAAGTTGCTAAACCGAAGCGGTAAATGCTCGTTTGGTTTGTAAAATTGTTGCCAAACCATAATCCATCTTTGTAAGCTTCAAAATCCGGAGACTTGTTGGCGTTTGATGCACTTGTGTTTGAGACGAGACTGCTAAGATTCGGTGGTTCTATCAAAAAATCTGTACAAAAATCATGACGAGCTCTGGAAAGTAGAAAAAAGTTGTGCTCTTTTCTGTAGGGTTTGCTCCATCCATCCATTACTTGGACTCCTTCTGAGGTTTCTTATAAAATTTTATAAAAATTGTGAATGGCCATCTCAAAAAACATAGGTCGTAGATTTTGATTGACTGTTTTCTGGAAGCTCATTGACTGTATTGCAACATCATCATAACCATTAGAAAGAGAATGAAATGCTGCATCAAATGCTAGTAGAACCTCTTATAGACTTTGTTCCACGAGATGTGGCATACTTTTGGAATCAGCGACATTACTTTCGGAACGACCTAATAGAAAGTACCAAATGGAAGCAATGAAGGAGTTAAGACAAGCAAAAAAGTTCGGTGCGCAAATGAGTTGCGATGGGGGAATAAAAAGAAAGATAGTTCAAACAGATAAACTACGAATAGGTACAATATGTAATTTGTAATCAAAATTAGCTCGCCTTTCTTAATTTACAAGATATGGCAGCAGAAATGCTCAGAAAACAAAATAAGTCGCTCAGCGCTAGGTTTTATCAGCTGTTGATGATGAATGCATTCGGCGTGCATTGAACATAGTGATATGTACCTACGGTTTGCGCACAGGACGAACTCGGCGTATTCGGCCCTTAGTCGGGTGGGCTAGCCTGCGTCTCCACGCTAGACGTACCATTTTTCTTTGTCTGCTTGCGAGTGACGATGTCCACTCCGTGCTCGTCTCATGCGCACGAGGAAGAGCACGTACTACAGTCACGGCTTCCATCGGTTTTACCGGGCGGCCGTGATAAAGGTAGACGCCATACGAATCGCGGCCGAAACGGCACGTACTAGCTACGTGCTAACTTTCGAGCGTCGCGACCACCACCAGGGGGACATTACGAGCCACAGTTGCACATTATTTTGGGACGCCCTGCATTTGAAAACAATTTTAAAAACCTCTCAACCACCTGGTACGCTTTCCAAACATTCCATATGATCCTAGAATGTATAGAACACTCATTTTCTGACTTCCTTCCGACATCAAAATTGTACCTCCCTCTAATGTCATATAAAATGAGGCAGACTATCAGAATTTTTTTTGAAAAACATGATAACGAAAAATCTTTATTAAAATTTACTTGGAAATTAACTCAAATAACTTTGTGATTTCACGACATCGGTGACATTTTAGTTGGATTGTTTTGCGATTTTGGACAGGCAACCTGCAATACGTTTTATTGGATGAATGATAATTATCAGTTGAATCGCACTACTAATGGCATGCATTTAAAGCTTATGAACGAACTCCTCTCTCTCAGCCCTAGAGGATCAACACTTTTTCAATGTCATTTATCACTGTTTGACCCTCAAAAAAATTCCTAGAGATGTCCTGAAGATCTAGTCCGACTGCGCTAAGTATTAGTTTGTGTAGTGAATTTGCTCGCATTTTTCAATCAGTGTCCTAATTATTTTATGCGTTACTAGTGAACCGAACCAGTAATTAAAAGTGCCAGATTGCGTCCGCGCGCTTCAAGACCGCACCGCGGTTTCCCGCTTTTGGAAGGTTTTTAAAATGAGCTAACAATTCTTTATATATTAGATTCAGTAAAATTAAAGGGTATTGTTAGAAGGTCTTAGTCTGCTCTATTCTGTCCCTCTCTGTCCCTTAATTAACGGATCTGAAGGAACTATAAAGCTTCGAAAACCGAGAAGGCGTGAACAGGGCCCGGCACGAGCTTGTCAAAAGGGGTTTTCGAAAACGAATTCTCCTTTGACCCCAAAATTTTCTACGAATACCCCTTTAACTCAGAAATTGGCCCTTGTACTTGTGCAGCGAAACCCTTTACCATGAAACACAATTTTTATTGAAGAAACTACTAAGAGAATCTATCGACAACAGTACCAAAAAAAAACAAGTGGTGATTATTTCGGAATCTACAATGACGTTTACATAAAAAAGCTCCTCAACAACAAATCATCTCGTGGTGTTGATCCTGACATTCGTAGTTAGGTCGCCACAGAAAAGGAGGACATCGCAGGTCGAGCTTCATTGACTAAGAAGAATTGCGCGATCGATCTGAATCATAAATTTCAAGATTGCCGTCGTTGACAAGATGCAAGAAACACAAATGCTCTAATAGCTACTACAGGACGAAGGCGCAGAAACAACGCGCGCATATCTTCACCGTTTTGATTCTTGCGCCTCCTGCGCTCTGCGGCTGATAAACCTGCGTTCGCGCCCAAATATATTGCGCCTTCGTCATGCAGCAGCCTATAGAACATCACTTCCAGCTATGTAACCATCCCCGATAAAAAGCACGGATCGTTAAAGAATGGAAAAAGCAAAGAAACACTTTGAAAAATCTTAGCTGGATGTAGGCAATACTCCTCGCGTCCGTCCTCAACGGCAATGGGCTAAGTGCAAACGTTTTACAAGCCTATTCAAACTAATTTGTGATGAAAGATCAAGAGAATGACAAAAAAACTAGAAAATTGTTCTATCATTGAGCTGCAGCGTGCGCCAGGACATTAGCCTAACGTGATGCTCCTCGGCTGCAAAAGCGGCAGCGCCAGCGCGGTCTGACGCTTCCTTTGATGTCTAACTTTGAATGGGTTGTTTCAGACTGCCGCACTGACCGCAGCAGACTGCAACAGACTGCAGGGCCGCACTGACTGCAGCGTCCGCACAGATCGCGCGTACTGCGTCCTTTCATAAGGGTGGATAGGATGAATAGTTGTAACTCAAACAATGAACAACAATATATATGTCTAGACCCACGACATGAGCGAGAGTATTAGAAAAGGAATAAATAGGACGAATCAGAACAACTATGAGCATATCAAAGAAAAACAATCGCCAAAATTTGCTTAAGAAGAGTAAAATAGAACCTTCTATGGACTTCCTAGGCGTGAATCACGGTATTTTGACGTAAACGCTTGTTCTCCTCTACGAAGGATGCAGCGATCAGTGCGGAAGCTGCGGTCAGTGCGGTCACCTACAGTCTATGGCCCCGGGCATACTTCACGCGATTTGGTCGTCGCGATTAAGTCGCTACAAGACAAGTGTTACGAGTTCATTGCATGCCGATCTTCTTGTATTTCGGTTGTGATAGTTAGCGCGATTAGCCGTTTGAAAACTACTATCACAACCGAAATGCAAGAAGGTCTGCATGCAATGATACTGTTACACTTGTCTTATCGCGAGCAGTCGCGACGATCAAATCGCTTGAAGTATGCCTGAGGCCTAATGCGATCAGTGCGGCAGTATAAACAACCCAATTAGAGCCTTCAAACCGCGCCGGTTGCCGCTTTTACGCAGAAGCACCATTGTAAAACGCGAAGAACCGGGTACCACATCAGACAAACAATGTGCAAAGAAATTCTTTACCATAGAAGAGAATCTTCAGAGCGGCAAGTTAACCACAAAACAAAAAATCGTGCAAGTATCCTGCGAACAAACACTTACGCGCCCCACAGACAAAACTGACCTCGGGCTTCGGCGCAAAAGCGCCAACCGGCCGCACAAGTCGCAACCGAGCGGTCTGGAGGCTTCTTTAAGCCTTGGCATACCTCACGCGATCGCAGTGTGACGCGATTTGGCAATACTCCAAGTGTTTATAACTCATCCTAGGCGCATTCTGTTTAAACAGAACATAAGGCATTTATCGATCTGCGAACTTCTCTTCTTTACATTTAGAATGGACTCAAAATTTGTTATGGATAGTAAAAATTTGCCAAATCGTGTCCCAGCTGAAATCGCGGGGTGTATGTCAAGAGGCGCGATTTTTATTGCCAGCTGGACATCAAATTGCACATTTTAAATGTTTGACAATGCTCTAGGGCCTTTCACATTTTTGAGAAGTTAGAGAGGATCGTTGCATAAGCTGTCTGATCTTATCATCTTGAAAAGAATCCAGAACAGAAACATTGGAGGTCAAAAACCCTAAAAATGCAAATAATGGCAATTTTGTGAATATTTCGCTCAATTTTGCAGCAAAAGCCGTGAAACTCAGCAAATGGCAACTTCGAACAGCTAGTAAGCTGAACGACTTTCTCTGGAATTTTTTGAAAATTTGTGTGCTGCAGAAATGGGCATTTAAGTTGGTGACAGCCAGAGAAATCGCGCCTCTTGACCGTCTCCCGAAATCGCGTAATGTGTGGTCAACGCCTTATGCCAACGAGCATGCTGCTCTCAACGAAGTGCTACCCACATGGGAGTGGTTAATTTACTGACCAAACAAGAAATATAGAAATACTTTTTGAAAAAATACATGAAGATCTTGAAATAACGAAGAAAATCTTAAAACGAAAAACACTGTTGTTTACCTAACGTTCTGCAAAAGCCAGCACATTGTCGAATCCCGCATTTTCAGCTACACTGCGTCGTTATTTTTCCGGTTCAAAACTTCTGAAGGCATAGCGGACTGGCGATCTGCCACCAAAGGCGAAGTACCCTTCGCATCATTACCTAAAATCATAAATGAAAAGAAGTAACATCAAAACGTAAGACAAGTAGCTTGGGCGCCGATTACAAACGAGTGCGGAAGAAAGTAGTCCTAACTAGCATATGATCAATGTTTGCAACTTCAAGTCCACTTTCAACAGCACTGCTCGTTCCTAGTGAATGAAGCATTGAAAGCTGCGAAACGAAGTGAAATGGAGAAGAAGAGAAAGTTGGAAACGACACGCGAACAAGGAAAAAGTAAACAGCAGCCAGCTTAGCGCAAATTAGATATGAAAAAAAGCCGAAGCAAACCAAAGTCTCCTCAATACTAATTGAGAAACGACGACAACCAAGTAAAAAACGAACGATGCCGAACAGATTGTAGTAAATATATCTTATAAGCAGCTTATAAGCAAACTCAGAAGTAAATGTCAAAGCAAAGCAAGGAAGAACACATTGCGAAGAACTGCACCTAAATTCAAAGGCAAAACAGTTTAAAACTAGAATAAATGAAGAAAGGAAAAAGAGAGAAGAAAACAGCAAGAGAATGTTACAGCAATGCGATTATAAAACTCAGCGACGCCATTATCGATTGGAGCGCGCTTTCTCCTCAGGAAGCGGGGCTGTTGAGGCTATTTTTGCCTCTAGCAATGGGGAGAGGAGGAGGTTTGGGACCAAATTTTCAGTATATACTAATGTTTAGGCGTAGAGTAGATTTATGTAAAAATTTTGGAAAATTATGTGAATTGAGAGTTTTGCCAAGCTCAGCTTGTCATTAGCTTGTCAAATGACAAGCTAATTTGGAAATAAGTTGGCGAAACTCTTCATTCATATAAGTTTTTCATAATTTTTCATACTTCGTTACTTAGTCCTACTGCGCATATACACACCGAATCCCGCGCGATTTCGTCGCCTCTGCGTTGCAAACGAGCCATTTTTCCATTTCTTTGGTAGCGGGAAATTTTCAGAAAAAACTTTGCCACAACCTTCAGTCACATAATTTTTCAACGAAACTCCTAAGTTAGCTCCTACAGGCCTGTGTCCACGTGCGAACCAAGTTTCATACCACATCGTCATCTGCGCGTTGCAAACGAGCCATTTGAATTTACAACTTCATTTACCAATTTTGCAAAATCTTTGGAAAAAATGCTTATTACTCGTCCCGTTCACATAAGTTTTTCATAATTTTTCATACTTTGTTTCCACTAGCCTCTCTCCGTTCGCCTACAAAATCTGGTGTCATACCGTGACGCGTACATTGAGAACTAGTCATGTATGCCGTTACAAATAGCTCGTTTGAGCGACGTCGCGCGTGCGGCAATTAGCGACGGCGCGGTTTGACGCGCGAACTCCAGTCTTCGCATGTTGAGGCACATAACATGTTAAAATAAGTAGAGAACGTGCACTACCAATTTTTTTTCCGGGGCTCCGCCCCGGACCCCGCAAAAATGATTTCCCCTTTGCTTTTTTTGCCGAAAACGATTTCCAGCTTGTCATTTGACAAGCTCGTGCCGGGCCCTGGGCGTGAAATGTCAATCTTTCCGAAAAAAAAAACCAAGTTTGGGCGAGTACGAGAAAGATTAGCGTCGTCGCAAGAATGCTTGTTACTCCGACTTGATTGTTGACACCAATTGTCGCTGAAAAGAAGGTAGAAAGCGCAACTGGTGACAGTATATGAACACGCAATCAGTTCTGTTTTGCTTCTTGTCAAGTGTATTGAACGGACCTCCTCATCAATATAATCGAGATCAAAACAATGAACTAAAACAAACTCAGCTA